CATTTTTGTTCTTTTGTTTCAGCTGAGATTAGCTGCGCTGCGCTGAGGTGGCCTCGGTTGTCTTGGTTGGTTGACGGCTTTTTGTTTTGCTAGGTTGGGAGTTATGTATGTACCTTATGTATGTATGTACCGTATGTATGTATGTATGTATGTATGTATGTATGTATGTATGTATGTATGTATGTCCCTTTCTTTTCGCTTTGGGCTTTTGCTTTGCTTTGCTTTGCTTTGATTTGCTGTTTCTGGCTTAGATCAGTTAGTTAGTGAGTTAGTGAGTTAGTCAGTCAGTGCTGTTTGGAGACGAGCTCTGCTTGGTCTGGTTAGCTGTCTCTAGCGGCATGTACGTAGATAGTTTTTACTCCGTCGATGGGATGTGGGAGGGGTGCAAGAGGGTTTTGGATTGAGGAAGGTTTTTGATTGAGGAGCGTGAGGAGGAGCGAAGCTTAGCTGGATCGATGCATACATACATACCTACATAGGTACATACATACATATATATATATACATAAAGAATCGTCCGCGGCACGGGAAAATTCCAGAGCCGACTCACCCACTCTCACCAACCACCAGATCCCCTTCCCCTCTAAACGGTTAAAAAAAAAAAAAAAAAAAAAGGGGGGGGGGGGGAGGGGGAAGGGGGGCGTATAGCTTTCAAATATCTAACAAGCAATCAGAGACTCGCCGACGATTGCCTCGTCTTGCCTTTTGTTTGCCTTTGACCCTTCTACCTCGCATCGCAAACGAAGAGACATGAAGCCGCTTGCCCCCTCGGTGCCGATATATACATATATATATATATGTAGCAGCAGCAGCAGTCTGTCTGTCTATCTTTCTATCTTTCTATCTATCTATCTATCTATCTATCTATCTGTCTATCTATCCGAGTCGAAAGCGCTCGTGGCTAGATGATATAAACAGACAGCTAGAGAGGGAAGTAGCTAGCTAGGTAGGTGGGTGCGTAGGTAAGTCATATAATAAGGCAATGTGAGACAATATAGAAGAATGTGTACAAGACGACACACACAATACGATACAATACAACACAATACATGTCAGTCAGCTACGCAGCCAGCCATTCCAAAATCAAAGTCTGAGTACTCGACGCAGAGGTATTAAAAAAAAAGCCAGGACAGAACAAGAAAGCAAGCTCGCAGACCCTGACTCAGAAGTGTCTGTTAGAGAAGGAGAAAGAGGGTATTTCGAACCTCTTCATATTATTATCGCCGTCTTATAATTTTGTAAAGGCACCAACCAGTACCTCCTGACAACCATCTAGCTAGCTGCTGAACATCTGAACATGTACGGCCCAGCGGAGCGGTGGGATGCCTACCTGTTCTCTCCATCGCAGGGAGCAGACACAGGGAAAGTATCATGTAATGTACACCACCACCACCGCGCCCCGCCGCTCTATGCACAGTTTCCCCTCCAACACGATAGAGGGCCCCATGTCGTATGCGCCGTGATTGTTCAAAATGCCGATTCCCAATTCCCAATTCCCAATTCCCAATTCCCAATTCCCAATTCCTAATTCCCAATTCCCAATCCCCAATTGATTGCCCTCGCCGCCCAAACAGCGCCAGGAACAGAATAGCAAAAGTAGCGGAATGATTTACAATAGTGTAGCATCACCACGCATAATCATCCACAACATCATCATCCCCATTCCAATCATCGTCTCCACTCCTCTCCTCATCCAGGAAGTCCGCCTCCGTGACCTGCGTCTCTGTCGGCCTCAGGTTATCAATACGCACATTAACAATCTCGCACAAGCCTTGGACAACCTCTTTCTTCTTGCCTTCTCCTCTTTTACTGGCCTTCTCGCTATCGGAGCCTTCTGAAAGAGTGTCGGAGGCGGACGTGATGAGTGTGTCTTTGCCAGCTGTATCTTTGAGGATGCCGAGCTCGCGCTCAAGGTGAGAGAGGCGGTTCGTAGGATTATCTCCAATCATCTTGGGCTTTGAGCCGGAGGACTCTGCATATATTCCGAACGGAAGGTTCTGTGCCGCTCTGCGAGTTGAGCGGCGAGCTGGTGGCGATGGCTCCTCATCCTTGAGATCTTTCTCTCCTTGACCCTTTCGCGAACTTCTACGAAGCGAGATTGATGTTGCAAAAGAAACTTCAGAATCAATCTTGGGATCATCGGGGATACATGGTCTGAGTTGAAGAGAAGAGCGCTTGCTTTCAGCTACTACTTCAGCCTCCTCCGCCGGAACCACCAAGGGATTTGGACTTGCCTTTCTCAAGCTTGAGATCGGCTTCGGGGGTTTCAGAAAGTACTTGAATACCCTCTGAAGTGCTCCGACCCATTTGTCGCGAAATGAGGCTCGGTCTCTCCAGCCGATGTTCAAGATGGCTTGGATGGTCAGGAAACGCAGATCGGGCAGCTGGCTGGCACTGTCAAGCAGACTTTGGAAGAAGGCCTCGGCTGCCACGATCTCCCATTTGCGTAGCTGCGTGAGCTCGATTGTTTGGAGAGTGGATGGCCATGTGGGAATCTGATCCGGCTCCAAAAGATTATCGTACTGTGGTTCGGAATCTCGATAGGTGGCATGCATGTTGAAATATGTCAGGTTCATACGGAACACTTGCAAATTTGGGCATGCCGGCCCAAGGATTGGCAGGAATGATATACTCAAAGACTGGTTGTGATTGAGTGTCAGGACTCGGAGCTGTCTTCCATGGGTGAGAAGGAAAGCGGCGAAATCCTCTGCCACAATTTCCCAGCAATTAATTAGCTCGAGGTTGCGAAGGCCGGTAGGTAGCATGGGCAAGAGCTTCGCATTCATCAGAGTCGATGACTCGAATACTAGGTGTTTCAGGGAGGCCAGGTTACTGAGGGCCTGGGCAAGGACGGCTTCGTGCTTGGGGTCTTCCTCCTCCCCTTTCAAACTTGGGAGTTGGTAATTGACGAAAGCAACTTTTTGAAGGGAGGAGAAAGTAGGCTTCAAGTGGATATGAGGTATTTGCTCGATAGAATATTTCTTGCCACCCATTCTCGACGACCACCGCCAACTCCTAAGCTTTACAAAACTCGTCTTATCTCCTCGCATAGGATCAGCGGTAGGATCGGTATACTCGAGTGCCTCGAAGACCGAGTCTGGATATGTCCACTTGATATTGTCATCAAGGGCGCGGTACGGTGACATGTCCTTCTGGTGGTAGAATTCCAGGTCGGTCAATCGAGGCAGGTCCTTGATCAAGCCATACAGATCCAAGTGACCACAGCCTGGCAAAGAGTATGCTACGACTTGACCAACATCAATCCGCAGCAATTGAACCTTCTGCCGGTATTTGAATGTCATAGGTATAGGGTCTGCCATCAACAAGTCCACCAATCTGTGTGCCTGTACCATGGGAACCAGAGGGGGAGAATAGTATAGGACGGTGAAGGCTGGCTCTGCAAAGTTGCGGCAAAGTCTAGCAACATTGAGAAGCCATTGTCCAGATGGGAGGGGTTGGAAGGTGTGTTCTTCGTAGAGAGGGTATGTGGCATATTGAAAAATCGACACCAGAACGTGGTAGGGGAGGTTTTGCCACGGCGGGATGACCCCCGAGCCATCTATCAGATTGATCGATGATATTGTCGTGGGGGATATTTGCTTCGACTGCTTGCGCCTCTTCGGTCTACTACTTGATGATGAATCCTTGAAACCGCTTTGGGAGTGGGATGAGGAGGAGGAGGAGGAGGGACGGGAGCGTTTCTGCTGGCTTCGCGGAGGTTGTTCGACTCGAGGAGGGATTCGAGAACGCAGGCTGGGACGACGTCTCGGGTTCGGGCTTTGCTCTTCCTTTGACTCGGAGTCATAATCATCGTCGTCGTCATCGACCTCAAGTGCGAGTTCGTCCTCGGAAGATGACTCGGCATATGATACCACGGGCTTGACTCGAGTTGTGCGCGAGGGGATGAAGGATGGTTTGGGCAATGTCCGGCGGCGGCAGCCCGCAGAGCCCATGACGCCGGCTCCAGATGTTGTTGTGGTTGTGGTTTTTGTTGTTGTTTGCTCTGCTGTGCTGCGCTGCGCTATTATTCATGAAGAGAAGAGCTTTGGGCCATTCCATTCGAAGAGCGATACAGTTCGTGCAAGCCTCGACGACGCTTCTCGTAGATTATCGCAGCAGCCGGACGATGTTTGGAGAGAGATTTATTTAGATGGGGGGGTTGAAGGTGAGAAGAAGTGAATGATCTCAGTCATCTACAAGGCTTTCAGATAGCCGTGCCTACGGAGTACAGTTGGGTGTGGGCAACCCGTGATGCCCAATATAGACTAGCCAGTAGCTTAATTAGGTGGGGCTCACTCACCATGCACTGCAGCCTCCCTGGACCCTGGGCGTGTCCATGTCCATGTCTTCTGGCGCCGTTGTCAACAATAGGCACAGAGAGTACAAGCGCGACTCGGCATCGGATTTAAATTCAAAATCGAAAAAAACAAAATCGAAATCGAAATGCCCGTGCCATCTTCTTGTACTCGGACATTTTTTCATGACTTATAACCTAATATCTCGGCCTACCTCCACCTCCACCTCCACCTACACCTACACCTACACCTACACCGACGCGTTGTTATTGACTGCACTCCATTCGTTCACCCACCACCGCCCAAAAAACAAAAACCAAAACCAAAACAAAACCAACATAACCAAAATCCCCAAAATCTAGCTTGGCATTCTTTCTTGCCTGAAGAGCCTGAAGCGCATTCACTCACTATTCATTCTCATGATTCACAATGAGGCCCTGCCGAGACTAGCATCATAATGAGAAATGTCCGATAAAGGTCTGGGAGACATCGCGCTTTCTGTTTACAATCATCTCAACAACCCCAATCGACGACCTTACCTCAAGAGAAATGTGCGCAAAGCCCTCCGCTCTTTGACTAATATGGGATCAAGAGGCTCGGCTTTAAGATCATCGGCTCGACTTGGATCTCGAGAAGAGTCAATGGCTTCGGACGAAGAAGACGGCCTACGGCCAATGAAGCGGAGGAAGCTTTTCGACAACAGGACCACCTCTGCCAAACATGACGACGACGACGACGACAAAAATTTTACGAGGAGGCCCTTTGGTCAGGTGACGAACAAGAGCAACGGAGTTCCTTCTCCGTCCTCCAAGCCGGAGGCCATCAAGCCCTCAAATTTCTATGGCAAGCCTAAAACAGCTCCTTCGCCCCTGGTCCCCGGGTCGCTCACAGTACGACCGATAACGAGTAAGAATTCTATTAACAGAATTCTGCCCGCGACTCTGGTGAACTTCTTCGAATCGATGCGAATTGATATCCACCATATCGACCCGGGCTATGACGAGGAAGTGAGCGACGACCGTGGGCAAGAAGCCAACATTCCGTGCAGGTGCTTTGTTAGTATGTTTTACGCTAATAACGACAAAAAATCCGGCGATGTGGATAGTAGAGACTTGACGATTAACTGTAAAGATGTCAAGGCGTGCACTTTACGAGTCAGTATCGGCTACGATGGAACGGTCAGGAGGGAAGTCGTCCTTCCAGAGCCATTCATCTTCTCGCCGACTCACTTTTACGTCAACCGAAGGAAGGACATCAACGGCCGGTCGATCCGCGAATTTGGATTTGCCGACAAGTATCAACTGCAGATCAAATTGGAACCGATGGGGTCCCACGAAGCATGGCCTCCCCTGGGTGCACAAGGTCTAGTATCTGATCTCATTGATCAAGGAACGATAAGCCCTGAAGAGACACACTTGCATTGCAAGACAAATCCGTTCGCTGACGCCGACCAACACGCAAAGCTTGATCTACAACTTTGCTATAAGACTATCAAGCAGGCCATCCCGTTCAGCTTGGAGATACAAATTAGATGGGCATCTCCCAGTCATCTGAGTGAAATCAGATCCAGAAACACGAAGATAGCCGCAGCTCGTATGCCTGCTTCTTTTCCAGGCCCCGAGATTTCCAAATCTCCTATTGCCCGCCAAGCTGAGGATATCACAGCTCATGAGAGTCCCGGAGACAGCCGTGTTCCAAGACGGCGCACAGCTGTCACAACATACAACTTGAGGACCCTGAGCAGCATGGCTCAAAGGAGGTCACCAAAAGCTTCTCGCACGAAGAGACCAAAGCGACAGAATCTCGACAGCGGGGATATCACAGTGACATACAGCTTCAGCAGAGCAGAAGCTGCAGAGGCAGGCATCAAGCGAGAGACGACAATCTCAGGGCTGAACTGCCCTTTTTGTCTTTCGCGAAATGGTAGTCTCGAGGAGCTGAGGCTACATCTTCACACCGACCATGGTGCCTTCAAATTTCATCTCCGCCGGCCAGATCCCCCTTTCGTGACCTACTATATCGAATTGGTCAAAAATAATAGGCCTGCTCCGACGTTTCCACAGGAACTTCAGAGAACTATTCAGATGGGTCTTCCTGTAAGCCTGTTTGATCTGGAAAAGTATATTGGTGGAGATGAATCTTGGGTGAAGGCTCGCAATGGCAGGTCTCAACCCAGCCTCCTACCCCCCCATCTCCAACCGCAAGCACCCGATGCCTCGTCATCTTCATCGCCACATGAGTCCCGCCACAGCTCGCCAAATACGTCAAACGACACTGATGATATGATGGGGTTTGAAAATTGTGAGCCAAAGGCTCAGTTGCCAGTTTTCCAGCGAAGAGTCTTCTACGCCCCCACAACGAGTAAGCCGCTCTACGAGGCTACCACTAAACGTCTTTTGAAACCTGGAGATGAGCTACCAAAAAGCGATGACGAAACAGATGAGGCATGGCTCCATCAGAGTCAACGGGACGGCTTGAACGACTTCACGGATGAGGATGTCTTACCCGAGGAGAAAGACTTCATGCACCGTTGGAATTCCTTCGTTGTCAATGAACACCTCACAAGTGATAAGTACCTCGCGACTGTGGTTGTTCGCTTTGTGGAAGCAAACAAGGCTTGGCTGGTAGAGAAAACCTCTCGGAGAAAGGAATTCATGAAGCAAGCCGAGAACTTCATTCTCAAAGGAATATTTGATGAGCGCCGTCTTCGTCACTGCTTGGGCGTCATTGAGGAAGAGAGGAAGGCAATAGCGGCGAGAGAGGTAGCCGAGAGGAAAGAAGATGTTGATATGGACCGGATGGATGAGGACGAGAAAGAAGCACCTCCGGCGCGGTCCTTGCATACATGTGTTTGTGGCGAATATCAGCCTCTAGACCGGGTCACCTGTCGCGGAACTGTAAGAATCTCATGCTCTCTGATCCAACCTGTATATCGTAAGACACGTGCTAACGAGAAGCAGAGTTGCCAATCACGTTTCTTCTGTCGGCCATGCGCCCAAAAGTGCGGTAGAAGCCTCGTAAGGGCTTGGAAATGCGATGATTGCATTTCTTGAACATAACAGCATGCATGGTATTAGCACGGCGCCACGGGCATCGTGTATTTATTGTATGTAGTAGCCAACGGGCTCAGGATTGGAGGCATGTTGCTGTTGCCTCAGGATGCTAGCCGGGAAAGTTGCGCGAAGCATTGCTTGCTTGCGCTGCCAAATACGCACAGAAATGCCGTGTGAAGGCGATGGAGAGCACTTCGTAGCTGAAAGAGGCTTGGAAAGTGAGTTGAGGCGATACCGGGTCAGTCAGTAGATCAATCACCTTAGCTACCTACGCTGCGGCTCAAGCAGATTGTGTATGTAGTATGTATGTACATAGCAGTAATTCTAATTAGAGCTGGGAGTGGGAGTGGGAGTGGGAGTGGGTGTGGAAGTGAGAGTGAGAGTGAGAGTGAGAGTGAGAGTGAGAGTGAGAGTGAGAGTGAGAGTGAGAGTGAGAGTGAGAGTGAGAGTGAGAGTGGGATGCTATCAAGCTTTCGACTTTGTGCAGCTAGCTACCGGTAGCTGGTCTCGATCCGACCAGATCTACGACGATTGATCACGGGACTGAATGAATAACCGCAGGATAATTGATCACTTGTGGGTTTTGTTTCATGTACATACAGTAGAGCTGGATTGAGTGACCATTATCTTATCTTATTTTGATGGAGGAAGATTTTTTAGACATTAGTTACGCGCCCAACATCAGAATAGAGATTATATAGGTACCTAGCTGTAGATGGTCTGTAGATGGTAAATGCTTGTACCTTGGGGCGGGACGCTATGTCATCATCCCAGCGACGACGATCCTGATCCCTAGTAAACTAGTAAGTTCCTCCCCGGGACGAGAGTTCGTCTCACACTTCACCTTCGCCCTCCCGTCGCCTTCACCTCCGCCTCCGCCATCCCATCTGCACGCACTTTACTTCACCTCCCGACGACGGTAACAAAAACACGTCGCACCCAAGAACCACCCTCACGACCATCACGACCTCCACTACTTATCACCACCACCACCACCACCACCACCACCGCTACGACGACGCCATCGCAATCGCCCGGCCGGAAATCACTAGCCAGCCATTGCGATCTGCGGTCGATGCGCCTTGCGAGGAAACATACACACCATTGGAATTGCTGTCGGCGTCGTCTATGCGGTTGCGCGTTCTGGGCCGGAAGCATCGTCTTGCGACAATGAATAGGTAGCCCTCGATTTGGACTTCAGCCTCGATTCGACACCCACCAGTGAATGCGAACCTGCTAACACCACCCCCACTACGCGGCGCACTACTATTGTCACCGTCCTCGGAAAAAAAAGGTGCGACCTTTCATTCTTCCATTCTTCCTTTCCTCTTCTTTTCCCCCCCTCTCCCCCCACCAAACAATATCTCAAAGTTGTTTTCCCAGCCCGCTCCAACATAGAGCTTTTGGCCGAGACGCCCTCGCCCTCGCCCTCGGCCCCTGTCTACCCACATCTGACCGATAACAGCCTCCTATCATGGAGCGCAAGCCAGCCCAGCCAGGCTTTGCCGCCGCCTACCCAGAGCTGGATCAGCTCAACAAGCAGATCGCCGAGCTCAAGCAGCGCACTCTACCATACGTACGTTCACCGTGCTTACAGTCACCGCGTCTCTGCTCACAAATCCTCGCAGGAACCCCATCTACTCACGGTACCTACGAGCACCCCCTACAGAGAAACCCCAATCTACGAATACCGGGGCACGCCCTTCGAGGACTATGAAGTCAGAGAACTGCAGCACATGACCATGATCTCCTCCTCCCGGCGCGGAGTGGCTCGGACGGAGGGTGACTGGCAAGCCCGGATCGAGAGTCAGTCCCCAGCAGCCCTGCAAGCGCTCAGCAATACAGCCACGCCTAGTCATACGAAAGACCAGAAGGTATACAAGAAGTTCTCCTTGCGCGATTACGCCAACGCGAAGAAGAACGGAACCAAGCTACCTTCACCACCTACGACCGCGGGCGACACCAAGGTCGGCCATGCCACATATGTCAGTGCTTCCACGAGCAGTACGCCTATGAGTCGCCTACCCTCATTCGAAAGTGGCGCTCCAGAGGTAAAGCTGAACGGGGTTGCCGCGCCATTGGTCAATTCACACAACTTGGAGAAGCCGGGTCCGAAGGGGAATGCAAAGTAAGTCTGGAATCTTTTATGCATGAACGCATGGCTAATGCACCTTCCCTAGCCTTGCAGTGCCATCTTCGAATCGTCCTGATACCAAGACAAATGCTCCTGCTACGAACGCCTCTGAGCGCCCTCCAAACCATACCCTCGCATCACAAAGGTCACTCTCGCATCTCAAGCCACCCGTCAACCACCAACTTCCTCCTCGACCTAATTCTCCCCTTCGTAAGAGCTACGATGTCAAGCCCGTGTCGGAGCAGAAGAAGCGACCATTGGAGTCGTCCGGTGCTGGACAATCTGAGAAGCGTGCCAAGATTGACCATGATAAGAGTTCGTCCACGTCACAGAACCATCATCCACGCAAGATAGACAGTTCCGAGTCGAAGAAGCTGGCGCCCGCAAAGAACATTCAATCGACATCTACGCCGAACCGCGCCTCGCCGCTCCCTAACAAGACCGCCCCTGACGCCAAGTCGTCACAAGCGAAGGAGATCAGAACGGATAAGCCAAGACCGCTTCCTGGTAGACTTGGGCCACTGCCAGAAGATCTCACGGAGTTGGTGAACCCGAAGAAGCCTGGATCAGTGAACTCGACCCCCAGCGCACTGGCCAAGTACAATGGTCAAGATACCATGGTCGGTAAGGATTCTCGTGGCAAGAGCCCGTTGAGATCCTCCACACCTGCTCAAGCTTCCCACGGCTCTCAAGCCTCCAAGAAGCTTCCCTCGCCGCTCAAGCCTCTCCCGAAGATGCTTTCACCCACCCTTCCCGATGTGGTCGAGCGAGAACTGGAGCGGATTCAGGCCAAGAAGACCGCGAAGGAAAAGGAGGCAGCAAAGGAGACACCCCCGGGAGCGTCTCGTGACACTGTCGGAGCTCGGTACGAAGAAGTTCGACGACCTAACGTTCCGGGTGTTGCACGAAAGACAGTTACGCCAAAGGTGGGACACCCTCCAAAGAAGGCCCCGGGAGAATCGAGCAAGTTGCGCCCATCACCAGAGAAGGAAATGGCACCAGAGGTCAAGACAAGCCTCATTGTCAAGATGAAGTACAAGAAACGCATCGCCACGAACCTCCAGCGCATTCTCCGCATCAGTCCAAAGCCTAGCAACGAGTACCTGAGGCTTGAGAGAGAGCGTCAGGCAAGCTTGAACCCTCAACGCGGACCGAAGCCATCAAAGAGAGAGTCCTCAGAAGAAGCAGAGTTGCCCCTTTCAACTGTCTCAGCCAAGGCTTCTACATCAAATAAGCGACCGAGCAGCACCAATGAGCGATCAGAACCGGCTGCAAAGCGCGCGAAGTTGTCTGATAGCGTTGATGCTTCAAAGGAAAAGAGGCCCCTCGAAACAACTTTCAAGTCTCCAGCTCCTGCCGCAAAGAGCCAGAAGGACCTGTTGCCTACGCCAAAGAAGGAAGAACCTATTAAGAGCGTGGCTATGCGCAAAGTTGGTTCCACCGACAGCAGCGTTCGCACCCCACAGACCATGAACACCAATACTCCAGCTTCGGCCGAAACGTCTCGTGTGGGCGGCGGCGATGCTCGATCATACCCTAGTGATGATCGACAGCAACAGGATGCCAAAAGATTGGGCGTTGAGGCTCGGAATCTTAAGCGTAAGATGGATCAGATCCTGCAGACGAAACTCCCAGGAGGCCCAGTTTCCGTTACCGAAGAAGATCGCAAGCATGGATATGCTGTCGGTATCGAGTGCGTCACCCGGTACATGGAACTATTCGCGCTCACGGATCGTCTGAACAAAGGCCGCAATTTTACGATGTGGGAGTCGAACGTCGGACTCTGGACCCTCCTGGAGCGCAGCACGCTAGAGAAGCATCCAATTCTACACGCGCTTAATTTGCAGCTTGGTGCTATCCTGAAGCAAGAGATTGGCCGCGCCTACACCGAGAACTTGCAGAGGAATCCGCAGAAGTACGCTGCCGATTTGACGTTTATCGGGGGCATGACAAAGAACTTTTTGGAACTTGATCAGAATTGGAAGGAGGCGCGCAAGTCCCGCTTCGTGCTTGCTGAGCTGGGTGCGCCTGAGGCTTTGGGGCCGTGGACCACAGTTGGGCAGGCTACAGTGTATATCCATGCTGTCCTGGAGCTGTATGCGAAGAAGGAGAAGACGGGCTGGAGGCTTTCGACTTCTTAGCTTTCACTTGCTTCTGGCTCTTCTTCCGTTCGATTGCACTCCCATAGCATCAACGACAGAGGAAACATTACAGGGGCGGAGAGGGGGAGAGGGAGATATGTGTACGATGAACGAAACAAGAGTCGGTCGACTCACGATGTCACTTGCAGGCGTTTTTTCACAGGACGGCGTTTTGGTATGATGAGGATTGAGGGCGCGGGGGCGGCAAGGGATTAATTTACCATCATCGCGATGCGGGATGCAGATATGGGATGGGATTGGAACGGAATTATGTATGTATTTTGCGAAGCGAAGCGATGGTATGGGACGGGCCGGTCTGGTGTGGGGTGGTCAACTTCACGGGCTCCTTTGGGCGTAAGGGGGGGGATAAGGCATGGTGCTGATATCAGGGCGCCTTTGGGTGCATGCGTGGAAGCGGAAACAACCGGAAAGGAACGATACCCCATTGAATGTTTCAATTTTTTTTCCCGGTTTCTCTTCATGATATCATTCTTGGATTCATTTGATCCTTGATTTCCATTTGATCATGTCGTAATTTGGGAGCGGATGGACTCGACTTTTGCATTTTCCTCTTTTTTTATACATGTGTAATTCGAAAGCTTCTTCTCCTTCTTTTTCTTCCTCTTTCTCTTCTTCATCTTGTTTAATGTGATGCTTTCATTTCCTCTGATCCGCTTTGCTTAATACCTTTTTCCCCCCCCCCTCCTACTTCGAAATGTTTTTTTTATTATCGTCGTTATTGGTAAAGATGGGAACGAAACGAAAGGAGTATATAAGTAACATGTAAATAACAATCAAAGAAGAAGAAAGAAAGAAAGAAGGATATGTACATATGAGCGAGCCAGCCAGGCAGGCAGGCGCTCGGCGATTTCAGCCGACCGAATGACAGAATGGGATTCCTCGCCGACCCATGGCACCTGTGCAGCACGCGATGAGAGTCTGTACGAAGTAGTTCGACGCGCTCGATCCGGCCGGCCTGGGAGACGGAGGGATTATGTACCGGAGTCAAGTAGACACAGAGATAAGAGAATGTGGCGTGGTGAGATAGATACCGGCTTGGAAGCTGTTGCGTTCGTGTGAAACTATAGCGTCTTCGGCCTGTCGGCCCTGCGCAACGTATAGGTAGGTGGTGAATCACCGCGATAGGGGCGATCTGAAGGATAGCCGAGTGGCCATCAACCTGCACCGGCGCGTCGTTCACGGGAGGCGAGCTAGCGGTGCCTGCCTGCCCGCCGAAGTGGATCTGGATCTGGATCTGGATCTGGATCTGGATCTGAAGTCGAGCTTCCTGCCGGGCAACGTGGTGTTCTTCCGTGGCTGCGTGCGGCAGCATTTCATTCCACTGCCGCCACGATCCGGGAGAGGCGCAGTCTGGTTCTGGTTTTGGTTTCCTTCTCGCACAGCTCCGAAGCGGTCGGTCGTCGATGGCGGACGCGACTTTGCAGGTCACGGAGCGACGCGGCGTCTATTCCTGTACCGTCTGCTTCTTCAGTGTGCTCCGGTGAAGGAGCGATGTAGCGGTACGTCTCCTCGGCTCCAGCGTCCTGTGGCAGAGACGTGGGATTTCCTCCACATTCATGGTAGCGTGTAAGGACCCATGCTTCAAGCCCCCAACTCCGCGTCTGCGAGCTCGGGCCGGGCCGGCCGGCTCGGCCGACTACAGCTTATCTTATGAGCGCAACAGGCACGTCAAGCAGCGCTCTGACTCTGAGCTTCAGCTCTAGATGCCGACAACAGTAGATGGCCGCACGGAAACCAGGATCAAATAAGGCGGGAATGAAAGGCTCGGTGAGAGGGTTATGCGAGAGAGGAGCTTTGGAGCAGCGGCAAGATTAGTTGGCAAAGCGGATTTGGGGCGTATTGAGAAAACGGAAGGAAGCGACAGCTTTCCTCTGAGCTGAATTTGATTGAGGCTGGGCGGCGGAACAAGGGAGAGTATCCTTTTGCGTCGCTGGAGAGCGCAATAGGTGAAATGCATGAAAGGAGAGGGCTGAGGGTTATTTGAGAAGGGTGAGGGGGGGGGCGGGTCCCAGGAGCTAAGCGAGTTTATTTACTAGTGCTGTACTCGAAGATTTTCAGCTATGACTAATGAGGTGTTATGAATATACCATCGTCTTATTAGTGACCATAAACAACTCTGCTAAGCTTAATATTGAACAGAACTTATAGGCTCCGTGCAGACAATCTTCTGGCCCATTTGCCCTTTGTCCGTCACTCGACGGATATGGAAGGTCAACAAGCCCATTGCGGCGAACTCTTCAGGATCTCTTTCAGCTCGAGTACCACTCTTCCAAAACCCATTGTCAGCAAGAAGTATAAACCCAAACATGTACCTCCGCTGCCCGTTGTTGCCCTGCCTCCAGATCGAAACTTTCACCAGGCGTTAGAGGCAAGATATATACATACATACACTCGGGCTAGATGGCCGGCTTCAACTTTGATAACCTACGGCTCCAGACCCTCGGAGGACTGGCAGCAGGGATAGGCAACGGCTATCAACAGGAGCCCGCATTGACCTTCGGCCTGGAACTCGAGCTGGACTTCGCCATCAGCCGTCCCCGCTACAGGAGATGGCTAGCGACGAAGCCCGCCATTGCGACGCCACCAGCAAGCCCTGACATCGAGCCGTACAACCTCAATGCTCTACGGCGACGACTGGGCCAACCGGCTTATGTCAAGCCCCCGACGAAAAGCAAAAGCGCAGGAGGGGATGGAGAGGCGGCAGGCACGGCGGAGGATAATAATCGTAATAATAATAGGCAAGGGCCGCCCGATCCCTCACCGACGTTCACGGACAGCAGCGGCCTGACGATGTCCACGCGGGACTCGCAGGTCTCGTACAGCCTGCGCGGCCAGCTGCTGCACTACTTCCTCGACTTCCTCAACCACCGGCTGCCAGAGTCGAGGCAGACCGCGCCCTCGCTGCTCGGCGAGGTCATCTGGGGCGACAAGCCCAAGACGGCGAGTTCCGACTCGTGGCACCTGACCTGGGACGAGAGCGTCGTGCCGTCACGGCAAGAGCTGGCTCAGCTGCTGGGCGTGACGTTCGATGAGGTGCGCGGACTCTATCGCTGCGTCGGAGCGGAGCTCGTGTCCAGGGTGATGGGCTTCGATGATGAGCGCGACTGGTTCCCCCAGCTCGTGCAGTTGCAGAACGACCTGAGTTGGGATGAGCCCGAGGGTGGCGCTTTCTTCGCGAGCGGGGAAGAGCACACGCAGGTGCATTTCGCGTTGTGTAACGAGGACATCTCGCTCGAGCTGGCGCAGACTCTGTGTGTCCTTTACGGCATATTCGAGAGCCAGATTGAGAAGTGGCTGGCAGCCGCGAACAGGGATAGTAAGTGGTGCTGGCGGATGAGGCTGGGTATGGAACGTCTCCGGGTTCAGCTGGATGATACTGGAACCCAGCTTGTGACCCTGCCGCTGAAGAGATATACGCACGGAGAATTTGCCGATCTGATCTACGCGACGAGAAGCTTCGAAGAGCTGCGAACGGCGACGACCGGCTGGACTGCTGGTGAGAAGTATTCGCCGGATGGCCAGCCCACGGATAACGTCCTCGCGAGAAACTGGACCACAGTCAACATCTCGATGAGGCGAGAGAATAAGCCCACCACGTTTGAGTTCCGGCATCACCATGGCACTTTCGACCCAATAGTGATCGGGTGGTGGGTGAAGTTCTGCGGTTACATGGTGAGGTATGCATACCTGGTTGTCGAAGTCGGGTTGAAGCTGCAAGATCACGCCCAACGAACCATGGAACAAGAACCCTTCCTGGACCGTTTAGCCAAGGAGAATGTATTGGATGTGATTGGATTTTCGGAAGCGGGCAAGGCACATTTCGCACAGCAAGCCATAAATAATTACAATGCTGCTCACAACGACGCGAGGACGATTGACGAGATGGTGGTACGACAGCGGTGTATCAGACGACATCGGGGCGAACAGCCATCCATCAAAATGGACGAAGAGATCATGAACGAGCAGTGGTTTAAGGATATCTGGAGAGACAAGATGACCGCGCCGTTCCCACTGCAAGGCGAAGTAGATCCTGTGTCAGGCATGATAAAGAGCCCGGACAATTTCCACGCCCCGGTGGTTGACTTTACAGGCACATTCGCATGGCTTCGAATAGGCGTTGAACTAGGTAAAGCGGATATCGACATGCAACAATCTCAACTGAATAATTCTTGGCTCTCCAAGGCAAACACTAGCGAGGACTTACAACATGAGAGTTATAAGGACGAAACAGGACAAGTGGCGAACTGGATTAGAATGATGGTAATGTGCAATAAGAACAGAAGGGATATGCAATAAGAAGAATAGAGATAGGGCATAAGGATTGGTTCAAGTGGTTTTTATAGATCTAGATTCGAAGGAATAAAGCGATTTTTGAGTAGATTTATTTCATTTTGGAATAGCAGTTGTATCTAAAATGACTTCAAGTGCAGTAGTTGGGGAACATTGAATATTTCAGTGGCCACCGGGTTGACACGTTGCTTGTGTGGAATTAAATTTGCAAACTGTACTTCATATGCTTTTTCAAGTTGGATAGATACAGTGGATATGCTCCCTGACTTATGTTATGTCAGCGCAACCGATATGAAATGTTGTAGAGAAGAATCCTTTGGTCGGTGCATTGAGAGACTGGCTGCTCTTGCCTCGGTCATACTTGCACTCTTGCAATCTTGCCAGGCAATTCCGGGAGGTCGAAACCAATAGCCATTCCCAAGCAGAAAAAAAAGACAAGTACAAAACCACCAAGAAAACACGTTCAATCAGATACAGTTTCTGGTCATCAACATCGCCGCACCGCTGTTTAGACGGGCAAACTTCAGTGCTTGACTCTACGTGGTAATCATCACATTGAACCATCTCCAAACAGCTAGGAAAGAAAGGACTTGCAGGAAGTGACTTGGAAAAATATCGATATTGACGTGCTGTGTTGTACTCGTCTAAATGCCCTAGGACTTCTGGGATCATAGCTTGGAAGCGTCTCTGCGCGTGCATCGAAACATTTGGAGCTGAAAAATTGACTCACCAGTTGCTCCGAGAAAGGAAGGCAGGCGAAAAACAGGAAATTCAAGCACATGGCCCCATCCAGTGGAAAAGGGGAGCCGGGAATCACGATCTGGTATTCCTGTGCCTCCACACGATGACTCTCAGCCGGGCAAGAGAAGTTTCTCCAACGCCCCCATCACCCGATGCCAGAAAAGCCCAGTCCAGTCTCTACGCCTCTAAAAACGCCACTCTTTCCCAGTCAAAATCTCAAGGATACGCCCGCTACCGAAAGCCACCACAACTCCTGAGCACTTGCCTAGACATTGCGGCCGTCTAATCTTCTGCCCACCGACGGCTCCTTCTTCTCCTCCTTGATCTGAGTTGGTGCTTTTTCTTCAGTCTTACGCTTGAGACCACCCTTCAAAGTGTAGCCCTGCCCCTCGAATCTGGGTTGAAGAGCAGCAGAATTCTCCTTATCCTTATCCTCTTGCGTCTTCAGCGGCTTGATCTCGTAGCCGAAGAAAAGCTTGTTGGGGGCTAATCTCAGGGGCAGCGGACCATTCGTTCTGCGAACAGCTGTTGCTGGAACCGGAGGGTTAGTGCTAGTACCTTGAACCGGAGTCGAAGGTTTCGGGGTCGGGTTCTTGCTGGACTTCTTCGCATTGAGCTTCTGGCCACCGAGCAAGAAGTTAGAGGATACGGCTTTGGCGCCTAGAACAGCTGCGTTGGAGCTTGGAGCAATAGCGTCGTAGTTAATGGACTGGGCCATGGTTCCTTGGCTGTGCATCATTCCTCCTGCAGGCAGACCAGCTACAGATTTCGGGGTGGATGTTCCGCTACCGCGAGTGGGTTGTGGTTCGACATAGCCTAGGGGAGCGGCAAAATCGACCTCCACATCTGTCTCGATTACACAGACTGCGCCCTTCCCACTCTCAGGCTTGACTTCAAGAACAGCCATGTCATAGGTTTCGTCGTTGTATTTGAAGGAGAAGACATCGCCTTTGGTCATGGTTGCGAAGTTGCGGAAAGCTCGCTCGAGCACAGCTTTGGGGTCGGAGACTTCGAGGAAGTTGACGTCCTGGGCTTGGACTTTGATGAAGCGGGCGGGGGCGAGATCGGTGGAGCGAATTTGGATGAGGTCGCCAGTCTCGACGAGGAGAGTTTGCATCATCTGATGTTCTGGGTTAGTATATATTTTTATTGAAGTGGTGAGCGTGTACGTACCCAATGTGGCAAATACACCTTGCCTTCCTCTGCGATGAACTCCAACACACCACAGTGTGTTGTTCTGTCTCCCTTGAGGCCATTGGTGAGCTCAAAGAGCATTGGGTAGGTGATGTGCAGTCTGGTGAGCTTGTCGAGCGCCGAAGCTGGCATGATGATCTTTCCGCCATAGTTCAACTCCTCTCTCTCGGGGCCAGGGAGCATGACCGTTGGATAACAGCGGTAGTATTCATCGAAGCGCTTAGGAGCACCGCGCATCCCACCACCGCGCTGAAGCATATCATACATGGCCATGTGGTCTTCGTCGTGGTAAAAGTTGCCGAACGACTGCATGTTTGTTAGCTGGTTACCCTCCGGTGGCGAGGATATACTAGCCATCTTGGAGTTACTATGGCCGAGGAATGTAACAAGGTATGAAGAGATTTAAGGAGATAAAAAGGGTGGGATCAGTGTGTAATTGTCGTGGAGATACAGTCGAGAATTATATGTCGGAGCAACAGGTACCTAAAACGATGACGTTCAGTGGTGCCTTGTCTAGGGGCCGAATATTAGCCGGCAGCCTTGTGTGCATCCTCAGCCCGTTCGTTCACTCCACCTCATTCTCCTACAACAACCCGAATCAACATTATTCCAAACACCAATTGAACAAAGCTCCATGATCTTCTAAAGCTAAAATGTCCTCCCGCTACGCAGCAGCCCGCCCAAAGCGCGCCGGCGAACAATTCGCGCGAACTCATCACGGCGAAGGCGACGACGGCGGCCCCTCCTCCACCAAGAAACCCAAGTTCGACCTCAGGAATCCCTCTGCTCTAGCCCCCGATGCGCCAGAAGAAGATGCGATTCTTGAGGCTGATGTCATTGGGTCTGGGCCGGGCATGAAGAGGGGCGCCGTCAATATAGACGGATATGACAGTGATTCCGATAACGAGGGATTCGATGCGAGAGCGGAGGAGAGGGCGAAGGGAAAGAAGGGGGAGGTCAGTCTCGCCGATGCTTTTGAGTATGGGAAGGATGGGATTGGGAAGGGGGAGCAAGAGGACGAGGATGATGATATGTTTGGGGACTTGGAGGAGGATGAGGTCAAAGAGAGTGCCAGGCATGTTTACTAGGTGTTTCTATACCGGAAGATGGGAAACTTCCATTCAGAATATTGGCGCTGATTCTCATGATCTAGGGCCTCGAAAGGCAAAACAAAAAAGAGCGTTACATTCTTAGAAGCAGACGAGATTGAGGGACAGGTGGAAAGCAGTAAGAGTGGTGGGCACATATCCGGAAATTTCGTATTGGATCCTAAAGGTAATATTATAAAGCCTCAATTCCATCGGGATCGGCAGTGAAACAAGACGTCGAAAGGCCGCCCCTTGTACCCTTCAATGCCCTACTTGGTGTCCATATGTTCAGAATCACTAGCTAAGCCCGACCACCAGGCAAACTCTCCACCCACGCCATGGACGACCAGCTCTCCTCCGACGACGAAGAAGACGCCGCTCTCGCTCTCCAAGAAGAGGATATAGACGCGGAAGTCGGACTCGGGGGCCTCAAGCGCAATGCCCCAAAGGTCGACGCCTTTAACATGAAAGCCGAGCAAGAAGAAGGACGCTTCGACTCTGCCGGGAACTTCGTGCGCAAAGCCAACGACCCCGACGCCAAACACGACATGTGGCTCGAAGGCGTATCCAAAAAAGAAATGCGCAAGGCAGCCGAGGCGCACGAAAAGCGCGAGGAGGAACTGAGAAAGAGACGGCTCGAGGACGATATGGTCGAGACGAAGGATGTCTTGGGGGTGTTGATTGGGCAGTTGGAGAAGGGAGAGACGGTCCTGGAGGCGCTGGCCAGGTTGGGAAGGGGCCAGAAGAAGGAAAAGAAGGTGCCGAAGTGGAAACTCAAGAAGATGAAGCAGCAAAATCGGAACGGGAATGGAAATGGAGGTGAGGAGATGGACGTCGACTCTAAAACAGAAGCCGAGGACCCCGAGCAAGTGCGGATCAAGGAGGCCGTCGACGTCATCACGGGCGCGGCGGACCAGCTGCTCACGAGGGGCCAGACGGAGATCTACGAACAGGAGCGGGAGATGCTGATTCGGCAGTACCGGCGAGAAGCCGGGGAGGATTGGGCGGAGCCCAAGAAGGAGGAGATGGCAGAAGAAGGAGGAGATGTGAAGATGTGGGAGTACAGGTGGATTGACGGGCGGGACGGAGCGGCGAAGCAGGGTCCGTATGATGGGGCGACCATGGTTGCGTGGCAGGACGCTGGGTATTTCGGGGAGGGAGTGGAGTTTAGGCGAGAGGGCAAAGGTGGGCCGTGGGATAGAGTAGTGGATTTTGTATAAATGAGTAAGCTTTGTAAATGATACCCATGAGGGAAGAAAGAGACGGAAACGCCAAGAGGAAAAACTCGCAAGTCCACCTAATATCGAACACTATAAATACAATTGTTATATTACCTCGCAAGAGCGAGCAACATCTAAGGTTGTTCTTCAATATCGTGACATTCGCTTAGCTTCTGTATGCCTGAAGCACCCACCTGGTTTTTCTAGCCCTACCAATACAAAAGAGGTCTATCGACCTCTATTCAATCAGTTCGCCTCTGCTCCTATCGTAGCAAATTATAGGTATCACATAAAACGCCCAACACATCCGTTCGTTCGTCCACCCATTCCTAAAATCACGAAAGCTCCATCGCATCCCCGTGCCCATTTGTAAAAGAAAGGTTCACTGCCCCCGAATCCCCAATCAGCCGTTTCTCAAACTCACTCACGAACTTTACGCTCCGCCCGCTATCGTAGAAGAGCTGGAAACTACGCTGTACATCCTCAATCGTGACCTGCTTCGCCTTTCGCTTCGCCGAGATGAGTTGGCTGGTCGTGATGAGATTGCTCGCGTAGCGAAGGCCGGTCTCTTGGCCGATTTTGGTGAGGAGGGCCAGAGCGTCGGGCGTGACCTCGACCTCTTCTTCTTGGGCGCGAATGGAGAGTATTTGCTGGATCTCTTCCGTGTTGTAGGCGTGTGTGCTGACGATGACTACGCGATCGAGGAAATCCAGCGGGAGACCGTGGGGACTTCTGTAGTTGGTGCCGCGGATGCGAGAGTTGCCTCTGTTGGACGCCATGATGACGATGGGAGCCAGCTCGTCCTCGAGCGCGCGATTGATGAATGAAAAGCACTCAATATCCAGCATATGCACTTCGTCGATGAATAGGACACCGGGTACGATCTCAGCCTTGCCTTCCTCCTTCCACTCGGCTACTTTGGTGTTGATCTGGTCGCGAACTTCGCTACGGATCTCACCAGTATCGCCGGAGAAAAGGGCCAAGAAACCTTGCGTGCGAGAATTGATGACATCGATTTCGTGAAGGGATACAGTGTGCACGACTTCCTTGCGCTTTTGCAGGTCGCCGTCTGGGCACTGCAGAAACTTTGTGTCGACGCCCATGGCATCGTAGTCGCGAGATTTGGCGAACGAGCGGCCGAGCTTGCTAATCTTTCCCGAGGACTTATCTATGGAGATGATGTCGCCGGCCATTACCCGCTCTTTAGTCATGGCATCGATCATTTTGCTGCCCATGTCGTAGACAGATTCCATATCTGTGGTCTTGATTGTGAGCTTGCCCTGCTTAGTGCCTCCTGTAACACTCCGGTCAGTTTGAATCTCGACGACCTCTCCCTCGATCATCTCGCTCTCCTCTTTTATCCGTACGCCTATAGATTTGCGGAACGCTTGCTCAAGAGCTTCGGTCTTGGACATTTCGAGGGAGAAGATCTCGGACGAGGCTACCATTGTGAAGGGAACATCTGAGCCGAGGGCTTGTGACATGCCCATGGCAATAGCTGTCTTTCCGGTACTGTACCTCAGTCAGAATGTCCGTGCCGCGCAATTGTGCAAATAATGTGAGCGAAAGTTGCTTCTTACCTTGGAGGTCCAGCAATCAACACTGCCCGTCCTGCAATCTTTCCCTCCTTCACCATCTGCAGAATGACTGCCGCAGCTTTACGCGCCTTCTCCTGCCCGACAAGTCCCTGGGATGAGCTCCGCGGCTCCAAAGTATCTGGGTCTACCCCTAGACCGCGAATATGAGAGTGCGCTGCGATCAGGTTGAGCCCGCGGAGCTCCTTGCTCTCGGAGACGGTTTGGATGGCCTGGCAAAATTGGTTAGTAGCGTTGCATAATGTGTTTATCGAGGAAGCTTACGGCAGCCATGGTGAAGGTTCCGTAGAATATTAGGGGGCTGTAGTGAGTATGCGGATGGTCGCAAAGATCCAATCTGCTGTGGAGCTACTTATGATGATGAGAAGAAAGCCCCAGGATAATTTGTGAGGGTGTGCTGTAGAGTATCCGGGGGGGGGGAGGTGTGTTTACCTAAGCAGGGACATGGCCACCAGCGGATTGGGCTTAGCGTGGTTGCTGTTTATCAACATTAGCAGTGGCTAGCTGCATACACGCCCCGGGCAGTTTGAACCGGTTTCGGATGCGGGTATAAATTTCAGGCTTTGTTCCGTTCTCACCACCAACAACTTGTCTTCCACCACAGTCCACAACATCTACCAGACTCCACGCGCATCCACAGCGGGAGTCACGACGTTCCTTCTGCGACCTTGTTCTCATCTCTCTCGACCTCAAGCTCAACTTCATACTCAATCTCTACCTCAACGCCATCGAGCCCCTGGGCACCTCCCCGTTGCCCGCCGCATACCCCCCCTCCTCTCGCATTCGAAACCAGCATCCTCTCCTCCTTCAACACAAACTCGAAGAAATTGACTCCGCCCCCTACTACTACTACTACTACGTACATGACCACAGCCATTCGATAATGAGAAAGTCACCAGTGCAAAGAGATAGCGCTGGGAAAAGAGAGGAGGAGAACTTCTACCGGCGCTAGATTCGTGAGTACTCTAACCCTTATGCATTGCAGCGTCTCTCTCAACTCCTTACTTCCCTTCTATTGCATTCCTGGGCATAGGTACTGCACGCATTACCTTTTGTATAAATTTTTTTATACACACACACACACATATATATAATGCAGGAATTCAACAAGAGCCCGCAACTAGAACAATAATGTCGGCTCGACGTGTCCTACCACGCATTCACCCCCTACAGTGCTCGCACCGCTGGATTCCATATTGGCCTCCGAACCGAGCTCTGACGTTCGAAATACAGAAGCGTACTCATTGAACGCGTCGAAATCCGCTGAGCGACAGCGCGAGAGCGCGCAAAGACCGGTGCAATACTCTACACTACAATTCTGCGCTCTCAACTCAAGAATGGGAGACGAACGTTACAGAAATAATGCTCCCAGCTACCGTCCCAGCTCCGCACGCCCTCAAGATGTCCGGGCCGACCGATACCCAGGAAGACAGGACAGCAGATACGAAGGTGAGAAGCGCGTAGAACTTGGTTACGACTCTTACAAGCCTGGTCAATCACCTTCACGAGATTTGATCCCACCCCCCAACAGAAATAGATGCTCACCGTTCCCTGCTGAGGTGTCGTCTCCATACAATGACTCACAGCGTACGTATCTACATAATCCCTTTTATTGAACTATGACTATAGATTCACTAGCCTCTCAAGTCGCAAAATTTTCAGAGTCAAAGCTAACTATGTGAAAGGCCCAAATAGCAACCATTCGCGTTCGCCTTCTGAATCTAGCCCTTATCGACAACCTGAGTCTGACGCAGCGCGACCTCCGATCAAACCTAACGTACATTTAGACCAACGAATTACCTCGAACTCAACGTCTATCAAACCTATGCTGCAAATCAAAGGACTTGCCTCGCAGCAAAACCACGATACTTTCTCTTCTCTCAAAAATACCGTCTCGGCTAGGGCTAGCTCCTGGGCAGCTCAGACCCGCAATGTTTCTATTACAGATTCCGAAACTAATAAACAGTCTTCACAACAGCCAGCATCTATGCCATCTGAGACTGCGGATTTAATGGGCCTACAAGCACCTCTTATCAAGATTCTCCGCGATGCATTCACGCAAGCCGTTGACGATGTGACGGAGATGGCAGCGTTAAAGTTGAAAAAGAGGACTGCGAAAGTGGCTCGAGATAAGATGAAGGCTGTGTACGAAAAAACTAAGGTCAATCATGATAAATATCCGCCAATGAGAGAAATGCAAACATCCGCTAAAGACGAGGCTGAGAAGGCATATCAAGCTGCATGTCAACAAGTTGACTTGAAGGCCGCGTCGCTTGTAAAACTCGCTGCCCACACTGCGGAGCACATCGTGCCAACGGTCTTGGCCAATACACCTGGCGGTCAAAAGCAACAAAAGGCTGAAGAGCGTATGAATACACTCGAAAGTATATGTCAAAATTTCGAAAACTTCGTCAAGGAACAAGAAAAATTCTTGGCTGGCCAACAGAAGGTGAATCAAGAATTGGAGCGAAAGTATTCTGCTTCAGTACAGGCTCGCCTTGACGCAGAAAAGAGATGGGCGAACGAAAAGAGCGGTCTTCAAGCTCAGCTCCATCAAATTGCCACGAAGCTGAACGGCTTGGATGAAGCTATAAAGCCTGTAGAAAACCTACACCACAAGGTCGCTCTGGTTGAGAAGGATATGGTCAGAATGATCCCTGCAAACCTAACGCAAAGGCTTCAGATCCTAGATCAGTTACCTGCAGACATTAAGAAACTGTATAACCTTGCGGATCTAGGAAGTCAGTCGTTCCAAGCCTTGGATAGAAAGTTGGAGTCCCAGAAGCAAAGTAGCAGTGCTTTAAATACAATGTCCGAAGATCATGCGACTCAAACAGAGCGACTGCAGGGAGAACGAGATTCGTTCACTAATAGCCTGCTGGGCTTGGACGGCAGAGTCTTGGAGCTTGAGGCCGCGGTCAAAGCGATGCCTGACATCGCAGCCGTGGAAGACCGAATATCACGACTGACAGCACATCTACGGTCAAACAGTGGCAGTGAAAACCCCACTGGCCCGAGCTTTTCTGCGACATCTACCCCAGCTTCTGATCTTCGAGCTAGTATCGATGATCTAACCTCGAGACTTCTACAAACAGACCAGAGACTACAAACTCTGGACTCGGAGACGATCAAGGAAATCTCGGGCATGAAGAAGATCCTCCCGGAAGAAATATCCAAGCTTGAAAACAAACTCACTCAGGCGTTGAAAAGCGAGAGTGAAATGTTGGTAGAGCTTAGTGGGGTTGGGGTCGAGCGGGTTGTTAAGGAGGAGTTTGCAGGCTCCCTACATCGTCTTGCTACTGTTGAGGGCTCTATTGAAAGCTTGAAGGATTTCCAAAACACCTTGAAAGAGTCTGTAGATTCAACGAAAGGCGAGCACGATCTCCTCAAAACTTCACACGAAGGCTTGAGAGGCGAGCACGATACTCTAAAGAGCGAGCACGATCTCCTCAAGGGCTCGCATCATCATATCATGGAATCTCAAAATGCCATGAGAAATAAGCTGGAAGCCTTCCAGATTCGTGTCGGGCAGGGCCTGAACAATCTTACTGGTGCAACCGCAGGCCACGCCATAAAAATCATTCAGCAACAGAATATGTTCGCACCAAGTTCTCTAGAGGAAAGCTTAAAGACAAGTCTCGCAACTGCTACCGATACCCTAAACACTACTATCGAGGCCCACCAACACGCTATCGGCGATTTAGAGTCTCGGTTCAACAATATCATGACATCGGACCTGCACCGTGCTATCATGCAAAGTATGCACGAGCAGTACCCAAATATCAAGGACACACAGATGATATTGTCCAACCTTGGATCCGATATCAATACATTAAAGACGAATCTATCGACCATAAAGCTCGCCATTCAAGAAATGAAAGAGTCCGGTCAAGCCCCTGCTCAGCTATCAGTTCCCGCCGAACAAGATAACGCGGTCATGAAGGGATGCCGTAAAGAAATTGACAGTCTCACTATCGAAACCCACAATCTGAAGAAGAGCCTGAATGAAAAGCTCAACCAGCTCGCCAAATCCATCGTCGACGAAGGCGATATGGTCGAGGCAAAATCTGAAGAAAAGCGGAAAGAGCTGGAGATCAAATACGAAGAGAAGTGGAAGGGGCTGTACGACTCTATCATCAAGCTGCAATCCAAAACCCAGGAGATTGAGAAGAAAGTCAGCCGAATGTCAACGCCACAACCTCGGACTCAGGATCAACCGCAACCAGCAGCCCTAAGAACCGCCTCCGGCACCCCTAGCATTTCTCGGGCGACCTTTAAACCCTTGAGCCGCCTGCCATCGAACACATCAACCGCATCCATCGCCAGCGACAGTGCAGTCCTTGGCAAGCGCAAGGTAATAACTCCAAACGGAAGCTCGGCCGCAGGCGTGGAAGGTAGCAAAACCAACGGCTCTAAACACGGCGACTTGCGCAGCACCAACAGTCCCGTCCAGCAAAACCAACCTAAGCGCCGCCGCCGCGCGTCCACCAAGTTCGGCGACGACCGCGAAAAAGACCAGTCCAACGAGACTGACGATGACGATGCCGCCGAGCCGACAGTGTCTGCGGACGAAGACATAGACGAGGAGTGAGTACGGAGCGCCGTGTAGATGCCATTCCTGTAGATAGTGCTTTGTTCTCCTTCCATTTCTGACCGTTTATTTTGATGGAGTGCTGATTTGGTGACTATTTGTTTCAAGTGCGAGAGGAACGCCAAAGGATGTCAAACCCGTGTTCGTGAAAAAGAGCCAGCAGGCGAACCAGCCTGCCTTGGCGAAGGGCTTGATGGGGAAGGGCTCTGGCGACGTGATTACGATTGAGGACTCGGAGGACTCGGATTGAGCTTCGCTCATTCACAATCCGCCCCCCCCCCCCCACTCCTCCTCTCTCTCTCCTACCCTACCTTTTTGATTGGGAATGGATCGAGATCTGGGATTGCCTATTACCGAATCGTCTCGGATCCCTCTAATTACATCTTGCATTGCATGCTTGCTTGCTTTACCGATAGATACCCCAGAGAAGCATTGGTGGAAAGTGAACTGCACGGAGCGGAGGGGAGAGAGAGAGAGAGAGAGAGAGAGCAAGTACATTGCGCGTCTTTGCCATGTATATCTCTGTTCACATATTGTACATTACACACTCTGTTTAATTTGCTTCTGTCTGTATTCATCTTTTTTGCAAGCGAGCGTCGTCGCGAGGCTCTTCTTTTGCATGGGCATGGCATGTTATGGAATTCTTAGGCGCGAGTTGAAGAGAGAGAGGCAGTTGTTAGATACCCATTTGCTTTTGCTTTAGCTTCTTCTTTTTTGAAGAAAAAGCTTGGCTTCGCGTTCGTCTTTGGTTTTACCTTGCTTCACCTTTTAAATATAATATTGCCTGGCTTTGCTTTGCTTTGCTGACCCTCTTCCTTCCCTCTCACATAATCTACTCGTCTGGTAGAGGCCTGTCGACTGGTACGCTACGTCAAACGAGAGGGCCAGACGAACGGCTGACTGCTCGAGGGACGAATAAAACAATGTGAGTAGTGATAAGGCCTTACTTGGCTCTTGCCCGTGGCACTTGGGCCTCAGCCTAGAATATTCAAGATAAGATAAGACAAGACGAGACTAGGTAGGCATTCTGAATGCTCACTTACTTGCTATCAACAAAATCAATCATGTTGTTAAGAGAAGCCTATAAACAAAACACACACCTATCAATTATCAATAGGCTTCTCAGTTATTATCAGCTGCAGGAAAGGATGACTGACGGGTCTGAGGACCTTAAGCAGTCACTTACTCACTTCCTCACTCACTCACTCGTACCTAGATTCTCGAAAGCAATATATACACATACATACTGGTGTTCACTTCCCTTCCCTTCCCTTCCCTTTCCTTCACCTCACCTCACCTCACCTCACCTCATATAGCACACGCTCATATTTCGTAATTAACAACCACCTGGATCCATCAGTGCAAGCGGTACCTACCCAAGTAAATATATATATATATTGAAACTACCTATCCGTATACACAAGCGCTAGCAAGCTCAGCTTCAGTGAAGGTGCGAGCTCCACCAGTATACAGTTTATGGAAGTAATTAAGTAAGTAAGTAAGTAAGTAAGTAAGTAAGTAAGTAAGTAAGTAAGTATGGCCAATGATGTGAGAGTAGCGTGCGAAGAGCGCCTTGTTACCTTTGAACTGGAGGGCTGGGCTACTACTTTGCATATTGCATACACTGGATAGATGGAGAAAGCGACGGGCGGGATGCATATATAAATGCCCAAATGCATGTAAGAAGATGTGCATGTAAATATACGCGCAGGCGTTTTCAGAGCGTAAAATAACAGAAATCAAGATTCGAATAAACAAATGATTGGGTACATGATTAAGTTGGAAGGGTAAAGTTTACTTAAGCTGCGATAAAAAGCTCATTGCATCGTAAAATTCATTATTTGCTACCAGCCTCAGATTTCCCACCTATCAGAAACTAGTGACTAATATACAATACGCGCTTCTCCATCTTCAAAAAAAAATCTTAAACATGTCCCTTGTGGTATCTCACCGCAAACCGCGGACTTAGCACCAAAGCGTTATTCCGGGTGCCCATCCACGCTTGCTAAACATATGCAAAGACTTAAACTCCGAAACTTCCCAATTCGAGAAACATAGCTTTTCGCTCAAAATGCAGCACCCCCAACGCTCTCTCCGGCCAGCTGTCTCAAATGTTGTTCGCTAAACTGGGTCCGCAAACTGCAAGCAGCTGACTCGCGACTCAGACGCTTCCACTCTCTCATCGACTGGTTCAATCTATCTTGCTTGGCGTACAACTTAGCTCTGAGGATTTCCTCTTCCTCTTCCAGCTTCTTCAAATGCGCGGAAATTTCAGGCGTGAAACCTGTGGCTGTAGGGTCAATTCTACCGCCAGGGATGATTTGCGGCATGTTGTTCAAGGCTGGATGAGGTCGTGGACCAGTGCTAGGGGCAGAGATAGAGGTATTGCGGTTGTAGATACTGGAGGAGTGTTGCAGATTCGGTCGAGAGGGGACCCCGGCTCGGGGGCCGGTTGGGATTCCTGCTACTGGGCCCGTAGGGATGGTAGGCGGTACTGAGGGAGAAGCTGTGATGACTGGTGGTGGGGTTTGAGTGGGTCGGGTGGTTGGGGTAGTGGTTCGGGGGGCGGCGATATCTGGTGTTCTTCGTTGTGGTGGTGCGGCACCCCAGGGCGTGCTATCGGGTCTGGTTGGGCGATCGCTGCTGAACGACCCTCTGCCTCCTCTCATGCTGTAGGAACCTCGAGCTGCGGCAACATAGCCACGAGGGCCGGCAGGAGGGATGACTGGTGTTGAGTTGTAAGGTGAGGAATGTTGATTCGATATGGAGGATACAGGAGCGGTGAAGTTTCGAGTCCCACTTGGCCCAGTGGGAGGTGCACGAAAGCCAGCAGCAGGTCCTCGAGGAGGAGATCTAGCGGCCACATGTCGGACTGGAGAGCGCTCTCGGGGAGTTAATCTAGCCGATTCTCTGTCTCGGTAGGCAAGCTGAATCGCTGGAGAACGTTCTCGTGTAGGTGGTGAACGAGGTCTATTATCGCGGATTGGGTTGTGCGTTAGGTGTTGACGATCTGGATGAACAGGAGGGGAGGAGCGACGGGACGTGTTTCCAGAAGTTCTGCCAGAGAGAGGAGGAGACGGTGACCGAGGGCGTCTCCAGGAGGCAGCACTTGGTCCGGTTGGTACTCGATCATCTCTACGATCCGCACTTCGAGATCGTGCACGATTATTGTAGCCTCCCCGGGGTCCAGCAGGTGGAGATCTTCGAAACGGTGGGGATCTGGGTCGCTGCATGGGACGTTCACGTTCGCGTTCGAAAGGGGATCTTGATCTTCTTCTGGAGATACGATGTTAGCATAGAGAAAACGGTGACATGGAAACGACTCGCCTTTCTTCTCTCCGAGGTGGAGATCTGGCTCTGCGGTCATCGTCTCTGCGGGGCGAGAACCTGCGAGGGGTCCTAACTCTCGGAGGGGTTCTTGCACGCAATGGAGATCTAGGTCTGCTCGCGCGCCAGTTGTCTCTCACTGGTGATCGTTCCCTTCTAAGCGGGCTTCTCGATCTGCGTCTTGGAGAACGGTCTCGGCCAGGGTGGTAGCTGTCGCCTGGAGGACTTCTTGCCCTATCTCTTCGAGGGGATCTGAACGTATCATTTCTGACAGGAGACCGAGGCCGGGCACCGCCAGGTCTGTATGATTCTCCTCGGCCCAGCATAGTAACTTCGCTGTCCTCGCTGTTGCGAAATCTATCTCCGGGAAAATCAGTATGAATTGATATAATTAAAGATGTAACCAAGTCTGACTGGGGGTAGGCGAAGGGGTCCGTCAATGGGTCGAGCTCCCCTGCGAGTCGAGGTTTGTCGTCCAGGTCTAGAGTTCCAGCCTTTTGCCATGTACTCAGCTTTGCGATCGCCATGGGACCTTTCATCCAATCTGGCACGTCCGGTCAGTTGGACTATCCGACACCAATTCCCCATTCTGCTAGCCAATCCACCCTGTATTGTTCCGACTCATCTAAACGATTCCACTTCCACTTACATCTGCAGTCCCACAGCTCTTGTTCTATAAGATCGTCCCAACTTCGAGGATATCCATTCTCTGCGAATATGAGATAAATAGGTCTCGGCGGCTTTCTGACTGTGTAGTCGGGGAACAGCTCCTTGCGCCTATTCATTTTTCGCCCGTCGAGAATGGTATTGTAAAGTAATAAAGTATCGCTGGCGCGTCTTCATATCGAGTTCCAAGGGTACGCGCGCTGTCCAAGTTCGGGCTCCAGGTGAAGAACGAGCGTCGCAAGATAATAATGACGAAGGAAAGAGCGCACAAACCTTCGATCTCGATCTCGACCACGATTCATATTCTTCTCTGGCTCAAGGACTTGGTAGGTCGCTGCTTCAGCTTTTGTTGGTTGGTGTTGTATGTTATGTGGAAAGATGGGTGGAAGCTGCAATTGAGGAAGCCATACACTTTTAGGAAGTTCGCGGTCGCGCTAGTTAGTCACGTGTATCAGTCACCGACGAAGACCCGGACTAGAGCTAGTGCAGTATGCCAGTGACAAAGTGAAGTAGCAATCTATGAGGTGAGGATTGGTTAGACTCTACTGTAGATTCTGGTTCCGACACCTACAGTTTTCGAAGATTGCTACAAATGTTGAACTTCAGCAGTAAAAATTTAGTTGTCAGCCGGACCTTTTCAGAACCGAGCTTCAGGATAGCGTACGTGTCTGTTCTGGCATTACGTTTATCTAGTACATGGATCAGGTATTTTCCCCGGACTCCAGTTGCGATGCCTCTTCTGCGTCTAGAACTTGTACTGCCTCTTCTCACGCTTATCACCTCTCTTCTCATCGTCCCGCTTCAGCCTCTTCCGACTCTCCGTTGCAATCATATCACTCAGATCCTCGCCGAAGTCCCACGCCCCTTTCTCCTCCTTCTTCTGTGCCTCGAATCTCCGCTTGACCTCCTCCTTACTGATACCATCCTCCGACTGCAGGGAATCTGGATCAAGAGACACGTCAACATCTCCCGGCTTCTTTCGCTTCCTACTATCGTCGTCTTGGCCCAGCACTGGTAAGTGTGCCTGAGCACCTCTAACATCGTAAGCACGCTCGCCGCCAAAGAACCCCTCGGCACGGATTTGTCGTTCTGGAATGACTTGGTAGGCTGATCGGGGTGCAGAAGACTCTTCTGTATCGGTGCCTCGTTTCGATTTCCTGACGTCGAAGTCTCCAGTGACGTTAACATCGCCGGGATACTCAGATGGTACTGCAGACTCTAGTCCACCAGGAGTCTCAAGGCCGCTAGGTGTTTGCAGGCCAGCACCAATGTCCTCTTCATCCTCTTCGTCTTCGTCTTCACTCTCTTCGTCTTCTGACTCGTCTTCAGGTGCTTGCAATTCTCCCCAAAGCGTTCTCTCGACAGGCTCTCCGGCTTGATTGTTGACCTGAGGTTGCAAGACACCAAAGATGTCTCCTCCGTAAAGAGGCCGATTGAACTCGTCAACGGGAGGCTTGCCATATCCACCAGGATGGAAACCCCAAGCACCGCCCGGTGGAGGTGGCGCATTGAGACCCGGGATCTTGAGAGAAGGATACGAAGGCGGGGGGCCGAATCTTTGTTGATTGATTAGCCAAGGTGGGGGAGCTCCCGGGGGAATGTTTAAGGCCTCCTTCAACTCTTCGCTCAGCTCGCCAGGACGTAAATGCCTCAGATTGGTCTCATACTCCTTGCCTTCGTAGTAAACCTCCCCGTAGCGAGTTAGTTCCGGCTTCGTTTGGAACCGAAAGAAGGCTTCATACAGCTTTTGATAATCGATATCCAACTTTCCCATCTTTGGCTGAACTCTTTCCCTTTGCTTCTGCTTCAGACTCGCTTCATTCTGTTTCTCCAATACGGCATCGCGCATCTCGGCAATTCCGGTATCCTGGATGAATTTAGGCAATGCGAAAGGAGGCTTCTCGACACCTCGTTTTGAGGAAAGATATTCGCGCTTCAGTGACCAATGTGTTGGTACTGGAACGATATTTCGGCAAGATTTGATCTGAACGAGTAATCGAGGATCGGATGCAGACGTATCGGTCCATTCTACCAGCTCTGGCTTCTGCACGAGCGCCTTTAATTCAGCAACCGACAGCTTATCTCTCTCCTTCCTCTTCTTCTTCGACAGCTTCATCTCCTTATCCGCTTCCTCGTCTTCATCTGGAATTTCATCGTCGCCATCGTAGAACACCTCGCCCTTGTCTGCATCTGCTGGCTTCGCAGCCTCGCCATCCTCTGTGTTCGCGCGAAACTTCTCCATAATCCCCTTGAACATCTCAAAGTTCGGGTCATCTTCGCTGATATTGAGTATCGAAACATCGGGCTGGAGTAGATCGTCTTCTTCTTCTTGGGCAGTCGTAGTTGCAGGAGCTGCTGCAGGCACTGGCTCTGGTACCTCCTCTGGCTGCTTCTCTGATTCGGAAGTCTCACTGGTCTGCAACAACATCAATATGGACAAGTGGTTGTTAAAATAATTCAGATCACTCACCTGCGCCTTTTTCTGCTCCTTCTTCTTCAGCCGCCGCATCTGATTCTTGGACATATTTTTGGGCGCCATCTTCAGCGACGGAGGGCTTCACGCCCAGGGACTGAAGTTCTCTGTAGCGGGGCTGGCTAGTTATATGCCAGACTATCTGCAGATACTCCCAAAGACGAAGATAATTTGTTGACAGTGGTAGTGCGCCGAGTGTGTTGGGCCGGGGAGCTTTCGTCGCGTTGGAGTTGATTGATGTTCTTCAGGTTCAGGTCGCGATTTTACTAATCATGCTTAGCGTCGAAAGGGGAAGCTGTGTCTTCCCAACCACTGCATATTGTATCAGATAGAGTTCAGCCTCGAGCACAGTCTCGGCTCACACCACCTACCTTCCTGGACATCATCACTTCAATCGAATCCGACGGGCAATTCAATGTCGGTTCAATCGCGACCAACATGATCCTGCCGACAGGGCTACACACTCATTGAAACACCCCCATGCCTAACTCAACTCTAACATCTATGTCTGGCGGCCCCAGGTTCAAATTCCCTGACGACAGCGAGCCTACCCAACGTACTTCCATGGAGAAGTTCCCGGATCATTTTGAGTCTCCGGACAGCCAATCGCCATATTTGTCCAGCCCTACCAGATCTAATGGCTATACGGACGGATCAAGCTCTGCGGGCAGATGGCAATCGCTGAAGGATAGCGGGCGACGGGGATCTGCTTGGAACGGACAGGCAAGCATAGGAGGAAAACATGGCAGACAACCGAGCTTAAGCGATGCATTCAGAACGATCCGGACGAGGAAAGGGAGCATCAGTGCAAACGTACACGAAGTAGCAGATGCACTGAAGGCGCCTGTCTCGCCCAAACTGATTGTGTGTAACCGCTCCAGCTAGCCCTTTCCCAGTGTCAGTGCTACTGCTAATACTGATATTCGTAGACTCTGTGCATAATTTGGTATATGTCGAGTGCTTTGACGAGTACCTCCTCGAAAGCAATCCTGAATGCCTTCCCCAAACCAGCCACCCTTACTCTGATACAATTCGCATTCGTCGCCTTCCTCTGCCTCTTTTTCTCTCACCTGGCGACGGTCTTCCCCAGTCTTCAAACTAGAATCCCTGCATTAAAACACAGAGTTCGGTATCCCACCCGAGAGGTCATCGTGACAACCATGCCTCTGGCTGCCTTCCAAATAGGGGGCCATCTCCTGTCTTCATCAGCAACCATGAAGATCCCCGTCTCTCTGGTCCACACTATCAAGGGACTATCTCCTCTCTTCACTGTACTGGCATATCGAGTCATCTTCGATATTCGCTACCCAATAACCACCTATATCTCACTAACCCCCCTGACATTAGGTGTAATGCTGGCATGTTCTGCGGAATTTCGGGGAAACTTTTTGGGAATTTTTTATGCTTTCCTTGCCGCCCTGATTTTTGTCACACAGAACATCTTCTCAAAGCGTCTCTTCAACGCTGCGTCTAAAGCCGAAGCATCGGGTGTCCAAAGCCGAAAGTTGGACAAACTAAACCTCCTTTGCTATTCCTCTGGCCTAGCTTTTGTCCTCACCTCGCCCATCTGGTTCTGGTCAGAAGGCCTGGAAATTATGCGGGACTTCTTTCACGATGGCACGGTCGATCTCGCCGAAGGCTCTCCCTCCAAACCGGCATTCGACCACGGCCGCCTGGCCTTAGAATACGTTTTCAACGGCACCTTCCATTTCGGCCAAAATATCATCGCCTTCGTCCTACTCTCCATGGTCTCTCCCGTAACCTACTCTGTCGCCTCCCTCATCAAGCGCGTCTTCATCGTCGTGATAGCCATTATCTGGTTCCGAAACCCCACTACCAAAATCCAAGGCCTTGGCATAGCCTTAACCTTCTTCGGCCTCTACCTGTACGACCGAACGAGCCAAAGCAGTAAAGCTGACAAGAAGGCGAAAATGATGGATATCAAAGAAGACAGCCTCCTCCCCTCCTCCCACCTACCGAATCGCAACGGGTCTCCGGCTTTCGACACCCCGGTCCGAGGCTATACCAACGGGTATGCCATCAACTCCTCCTCGGAGTCAAAAAAATCTGACGATTTTGGCCGTGTAGGCAACCCACGAGGAGCGAGTAATGTGGCGTGGCTACCGCCGGGAACGAGACAAGAAGAGACGTGGCGGCCGAGAGAGCTGAGCGCGAATGGGAACGGCAGTTTTCACGGTACGCATGTAACTGTTTCTTGACGAACTGGGTTAAAGATGCGGTATTTAGACGAGCGGGCTAGACTACTCTGGGTGGCGTTATATGGTGTTCTTGTATTGGATCTATGTAGCTGTAGAGCGAGTTCATGGGGAATAAATCTGTCGATCAAGCACCCGGGTCTCTTCGCCGTTGTCCCAGGGAAGGTCTCCCGCCATCTAAGGTCGCTCCTGTTTGTACCCCAACTGCCCGCCCAATGCCATTTTTGTTACTGACTTCGCCTCAAGATCTCGCATAACCAGAACCAGCTCCAAGTCCGGAAACTTAGGTGTATCTGCAGATAAAAGATAGAGCTGGGGACAGAGCAGGGCCATGGTGAAGAAGTGGGAGGTGCTGGCCAAGATCAGTACGGGTCGGCTGTCAGCTGACTTTTGATTCATTTGCTGCTGGAAGCACGAACAAGAACATTAATCCATCAGATCCAACTTCAGCACTTTCAGATGACCACAATACTGCAACTTTCTTACGATGAGAGTCTCCTCCCGTTTTCCGATACCGCAATTGAAACCAATCGGTAATGTTCCCCTGTGCAACAGTGCAACAGGGTTTGGCATTATCGGCAGCTTGACAGCTGCCGGTCGATGAGTACTGCGGCATTCCCACTATTGCGGAAGCAACAGGAAGACGGTTCAGGTACGCACAACGCAACTTTCAAGACTGCTATGCTCATGTCATGTCACAGAGATAGAGATTTCGGGAGAAGAACCATGTCATTATCGGCCATACAGATGGCTGTAAGACCGTCAACGCGTTTTCCCCCGACAATTGAACTTCAACTGATGACTATCAGATGTAACGAACGCGAGAATCTGCAGTCGAGATCTCGCAGCTTCAGTGTCCCGGCTCTCGTAGACCCCGCCGTTGATGCTGCTGGGAACGGTGCTAGATCTTGTAAGAGTATTCACGACCCGAAATGTCGTGTTGCGAGGTCGCGAAATGGTCACAGGTGCCTGGAGCAGGAACGATATGTTTAGTCTACGTCACGCGTTACTACACACACTTGCTCTATGGAAAGAAGTCATTCCAGGGGCCACCCCTTACCCTATCAACTTTAGCGACCACGAATTAGAGCTTCACAACAGTAAATGGAGCTTGCTGAAGGGCTTGGAGGGGTTCTGCATCAACTTCAGGATGGTGACTTGGTGGGATGGTATTGAGGGAGAAGTTTGAAGTGGCTTCGAAGGTTAACGAAAGCTTCAAGGAGATGTTCGTTGGCATGGCCGAATGCGAGTCGCAGAGGCGTCTCTATTCGCGGATCTGGCCATGTCATGACTAAGAACAATTTCCAGAGCCAGACAAGGCGATAGCGATACTTGTATCCCATACTGTTCAAGTGTCAGCCATTTGGTCCGCCCCGCCTTACGTCAACTGTAAGATTCAGCATCATATACGCCGAGCGTGGGTTCTTTTTGGGCAGCGTGGTGCCTTCCCGGGGGAACTCACTCCGACGGTGTTGTAAGATATAGATGGGCTGCGTTTAGACTTGAATTTTTGAGGCGTTCTTTCTTTCTTGTGTACCTCCGTGTGCACCCACAGCTGACTTCGGTCCGGTCTTGATACCTCTCGTTTTGCGACTCTGACACCGCTACGCTTCTAAGCTAGATACGGCAGTCTCTGCCTTGCTTCTTTGGATTCTTTCCCTGACGAGAGCTCTCTCGCTCTCTCATTGTGATCCATCCTATCTATAAGGGAAGGGCGCAGCTGATGACAGCCTTTGCTGTAACACCTTGAACTGCTTTCTAGGGCTGTCTTGTATGTAACTCCTTAGCTTAGCTCGTCGCCGTACTATATAGGAGGTCCCAGGACGGCAGGCTCCGCTTACCACCGCCCGACGTGAATAAATACAACAACAACAAATGTCAGCCATTCCCCCTTTTCCAAGCGATGTCTCACCCAGACTTACCAAAGCGCGCATGAGGCCAACAAGTTGGCTGCTTGATAGAGCGGAGGTCCCCGCGCCACTCATTGTGAGCACGGAATTGAATACCTGCTCGACACCCTAGTGTGGCTTCCACCTGTGCACACCTCACGAGGCAAGCACGCAAACCGGCCGGATGATGAATTCGTAGGAGAACCAGAATCAGGCATACGGCGATTCTGAGCCGAGGAAGACTTGAGGCCTTAGAATACCCCTAGACCACTCCATAGGACTGACTAGCAGTAGAAGTTCTTGATTTTGAGAGCATTTCCAGAGGAAGATTACTTCTTAAAGAAAAAAAAAAGGGGGTGCAGTCATTCTTGCACAGCTTTGGAGCTGACAGGAGTGTGGTGCTTTCTTATGGGAGTTCCAGCCAATTTACACTAGGACAAAGGGCACGGGGTAGACTGTGTCATGGCGTCAGTTATAACTGAGTTGTGAAAGCATTAGAATGTACTGGGTTTATTTCAATATTTACACTTGGCTTTGCGAGCCTTTGGAAGGCATGAAGCGACGGGGATATATCGAAGTTGTGGGTTGAGCCTTTTTTGTTCTCTCTCGGTTAACAGTCTCGGTTAACATCTCGGTTAATTTATGTAGACGTTAGTGAAGCAACCTCTCCAGCCTCAGCATTTTTAAGAAGACTTCTCCGGCGGTGCATTCCATTTCAATAATGGAGCTCAATCCTGCTAACGGTTCACGGTTTGAAGAAAAGGACCCAACACCTCAATCGCAAGTAAGACAGAAGAGGCGATGAATAAGAACAAAGATGCTTCATCTTTGGGACAAAGCGCTGATAGATATATTCTACAGTCTTAAGATATTCAGATTAAAGCTCAAGCTCAGGGAGGATGCTGAAGGTTTCTGTTGAATCAGGTAGAGCTGATGGACTCTGCAGGAAGGTATCGTTTTCTCTACTCCTATCTCTCTCAATAAATACTCGGTCTCGAGATTCGAAGAAGCACGACAAAGAGAACATGAACACTGGAAGATGATTCTTAAGTCCTCAATTACTCGTCAAGTCGCGAGAAAAAACATCCCAAATATCGTTCCTTTTGGAGCAATCCAAGGATAAGTATGAAGCCTCCGTCAAGGGGCTGTGATTAATCAGGGCCGCTGGTCAGCTTCACCAAGCTGCCATCATGTATCATCAACTAATGATTCAATTTTGCCACCTGAAGCTACAATATAGTGAGACTCTGGGCGGTCCATTTGTGGTACAGGAGTAGATAGTATAAAGCAAGCGCAATTTTGTCCGCATCATATCAATACATTAGGCGTTACACTGCTAGATATCGGAGTAGTGACAGACCTATCGCAACCAATCATATTGCTCGTTTGAAGGAAATCAGTGAATTTCGTCCCTATGTGTAGGTCATTTACTCACGATATGCTGCGAGCTTGCGACTAGCGTTTTATTTGCGTCCACCGATCCCGTCACCTCGTCAACAACGCGTTTGAGCTTCTATCACTACATACCCGTCTTCCCTCTCGCAATCCCCCAATCACCCTAGATTTTCTCTCTATCACTAGTCTCAACGTGTTGGAGTGGTCTCAGACCAGCTCTGCTTTCCACGCTCCGAATTTGGAGTCGACTTCACCGTCTAGCAATCGCGCTCGATCGACATCCAGACTCATTATGGCATCTGAAAAGAGAGAAAAGGCCGCAGTTCCAGCAACATCGGGGAAGAGGTACCTTGTGGAGGGTTCAGATGTGAAAGAAGAATACGAGACTCCGTTTCATGAGTAAGTTGTTTTCGTTGCTGAAGTTGCAATCCACTGGACTGACTTTTGACTTTCAGGTTGATCAAGTCGGGCAACATGGTGAAATTATACGTCGGCCCCGCCAAGCAGGTCTGGTTTCTGCACGAGGATCTTCTCAGCCACGGCTCGGAGTACTTTATGGAAGCATTCAGAGGCGATTTCAAGAAAGCTACCGAGAAGACCATCATATTGGACAACGAGGATCCCGCGATCTTTGGTCTGTTCGTCACATGGCTCTACACAGGAGATCTACATTCCGTCAAGTCAGATAGCAGCCAGAAGAAAGATGATCGACCTATCACCTGGTGTTATCTGGAGGCCTTCGCTGACAAATTCTGGTTGAATGATCTGTCAACAATAGCTGTTGGTAACTGGTATGATTGCTATGTACCAAAGTATATGAAGCGATCGGCCGAGGATATCAAGTTCATCTACGAGGAATGCTCAGAGCACACTCGTTTGAGAGGTGTGGCAAGCCGCAAAGTAATGAATCGCCATTACTTGAGTCGGAAGGTTGATGATTATGCCTGGCTCGGTCAGCTCTTGGCCTGCAATGCGTCCTTCGCAGGGAATTTCGCAATCAGACTGAAGAGTCACAAATTGATGTTCGATAATATGTCATTCTGCTGCTGCCTAAACGATTGCTGGCTACACACCGCTGGAGCGATCAACTAAGGAAGCACAGCGGGTTGCATACAACTCAAGAGGAGATAGCATGTGTTTTCTAGCGCATCTGAAATCATGGATATCAGGTCTTTCGAGTGGCATGGGAGGTGATGGGGTGACTTACTTCACACCTTTGATAGTGCATAGAGAATGGAGATTATTTTCGGAAGCATTAGGCACAGATTGTATAGTACAACAACACAAATTGCGCTCCGCATTCCAGACTTCCGAATGCAATTGCTTGAGAAAAATCTGCAAGATGGTACAAACCCACTCCTGAGAATGCAGTGATACTTTAATATCTCAACAGGACTCTGATATTTAAAGAGATATTCCTCGTGACAGTTTCTAATTTCCAGGCTACTTGGGGACAAGCCTTGTTCCTCCCTATCCTAGACATGAAAAAGAGGTTCGGTGGTTGTTGTAGTATTTATTAACGTCGGGCGGGTGGCAGGCGGAGCCTGCCGCCCTGGGACCTCCCACGGGGTACGGCGACGTGCTAGGCTAAGGAATTGCAGACAAGACGGCCCCAAAAAGTAGTTTAAAGTGGTACAGCAAAGTTGCCATCAGCTGCGCCCTTCCCCTACAGATAGGATGGATCGCAGTGAGAGATAATCCTCTCGACAAGGAAAAACCAGAGTAGCAAGACAGATACTGCCGTAGCTAGCTTAAGAGCGTAGTAGCCGTATCAGAGTCGCAAAACGACAGACAGGTGTCGAGGCCGGACTGGAGTCAGCCGTAAAAGAGGTTCGGTATGATGCCATAGGGTAAATATTGACTTCGCTTAAAAAGATCACGCTAATCACTAGTGCTACCTACCACTTTCTACCAGCCTAGTACCGAAGTCCAGCATCTTCCAATTGCAATTCAAATCACCGAAAGACACAGCCTCAAGTGTCGCATTCGCAGACGTGCAAACACTGTTTCCAAAACTATTGGCGGCCGAACACCAAATCAGATCGAAACTACCAAGATAGGACGTCTGACGCGTCTCCTTCGTGCGCACTCAGTTGTCAATACTAGAGACGCGCAAAAATGTCGAAGATCACAAGCTCGACAGCAAGCTTGATGACCAATGAGCATCCTTCCAAGATTCCAGACCGAACCCAAAAAGCATTCAAGGACGTTGGAGAGTAAGTTTCTGAAGAGAAAAAAAGTGACTAGGTCGATTCGACCGCGCGCGCAGCGTACGGGCTGGCTGACCAGGAACTAGGATGACGGCCTCGAGCAACATGGTCACGATCTACGTTGGTCCGGATAGGAAGTGCTGGACCGTACATGAGAACTTGATCTGCGATCGGACGAGGTTCTTTCGCAGCGCTTTCCGGGGAGGGTTTGCTGAGACGACCGAGAAGTCTATATGGTTGGAGGATGACGACCCCGAGATCTTCAAGCTCTTCGTCGAGTGGCTCTACGGCTCGGACTTACGCTGCAAAGAGAAGGATATGAGGATCCCTGGTCACGCACGAGACAAGAACCACCCGTTCGACTGGTACGGCTTGGAGGCATTTGGGCACAAAATTGCTTCGGATGAAGTAGTTGAGGTTGCACGTGATGTATCTGAGAGCTGCTGGTTGTGTGATCCTTTCAAACGCACAGTAAAAGTCCAGGAGGTCCAGTTCGTTTACGAGAAATGCCCCGACTCGTCCCCATTCCGGGAAAACATCGAGGAGCGAACTCTGGAGATGTATCTTGACCCGAACTTTGGAGACTTCGAACACTGGGCGAGACTCATAACATGCAACAAAACTTATGCCGAAGCGATCGGAAAGAGTCTGAAGGAACATATGAGCTTGGAACTTCCTTTTGATGAACCCTGTGAGATCGAATCTTGCTCGATACATTTGCGAAACGATGAGGCCAGGAAATTTATGGGATATTAAGTCGGAGTGGCTCTGGGAAATGGTTATGGCCTGAAGACAAGACTTATGAGCCTGCCATAGGAATCTTTCGCAGTATCGAGTAAATAGCTAAGAAAAACGTCGCGATTGCCAAGCCTGTGACGCTTGCGCAAAGGCCAGAATCTCCGAATGTTTCACAAAACCAATACACTCGCTTTGAAGGGTGTGGTTTAGGGTCTTGCGATTTCACAATATCCGTTTCAGGTATTTATTATTTGATTTTAGTTCCAAGCCTTCCGAGACATTGATTAGCATAGGCATAAATGTCTACCGCCAGCCCAAAAACAGCCAAGTACCTATTTATCTGTTGATATATACATCTGCTTTTCCTTAATCACAAGCTCATCAGTCATCTCAACCTGTCTAAAAGAAAACACCCTCTATCCCAGATCATCAGCAAGTACGACCCGTGTCTTCCCCTTTCCTTCGCTTCTCTCAACCATTAATTACTCTTCCTATCCCAATTTTTCTTATTTTCCTACTTCTCTTTCCAAAATAGTCAATACACTGCCCATTCAACCTACAAGCTCTCTAATTACCACTTACACCAGCTAAATCAAAGCCATAAAATATATCAATTAAGGAAATCGTAAAGGCGCGAAGCTTATTAACTAAATAGTACATACATACATGTACCCGCACCAATATTTCAGCTCTCTGGATTTTACCTTCCAACACCACCGAACTGATTTAATTGATGACCTCGGTGATACAAATCCAAGAGTATAAATACCTAGTATCTTATATCTAGCTAATTTTCATCGCGAATTTCTCCCGTTAGAAGAAGGCACGTTGACTAGGACTACCTATTTGTTATGCAAAAGTGCTACCTGCAATTGCACTACAATGTTCCAGGATTATAATCCCATTTACCGTACGACACTTATCAATAGTGTACTTTTCAACTGCCATCTTCTTCGATCCTCACCCCCTCACCCCTCCCCTCACCTACAATACAAATACCACCGATCAACCAAACTACCGACATCCAGCTTCTTCTACCTTACAGCCCATTTTCTACCCACCCATCCATCCATCTTCCATCCTATGCATCCACCCTCAACTCTCTACCTATACACCATATACCATACCATATGTTCAACAAATAACCAAACCAAAACCCAAACAAAAACAAAAACAACAGACAAAACAAAGCCTAAGCCATCATCCGCTAAATGGCCAACGTCCAAACATCCAAATCGCCCCAAATCAAATAGAACAACATTTCACAGAGTATTTACAGCATAACATCCCTATTTTATTTATTCATCTATCTATCTATCCATCCATCCAATCAGCTACCCAGCCTGTCTATCTGTCCAGCTTTCAATCTGCAATCTGCAATCTGCAAAACGTCAGGTAACCCCCCCTCCAGCCGGCTTCCAATAATCCACCCCACCGGCCCCCCCTCCTCTTCCTTCCCTTCTTACAGAACAAAAAATATGTATATATAAAAGCCAATAAATCCCCAAAAAATACCTTTACTTTTTTTTTAAAAAAAAAATTATCCACTCCCCCCTGCTTCAGAAATTATATATATGGTTTTTTTTTTGGTATGTGTATCTCCGAGTTATAATACTTCGTAGACAAGCTACATGTCCATCTACCACACCAATCTACCTCTCCATCTACCTCTCCATCATCTCACCCTCTTCTACCCTGTCTATCAACCAACCAACCAAAACACCCCCCCCCCTACTCCTCCCCCCTTTTTTTTTCAAAAAAATTCTTTTTTTTCAAAAAAGTAAAAGAATAAAGAAAATTTTAGATCGCCAGTCGCGATCTCATAAACATTCGTAACCTCGTCAAAGTCCTTGCAATTGCAAAACCCTCGCTCGGTATAATATCCGAATTCCGTATGCTCCCCAACGCTCAGGGGAGATTGACTTCCTTCTATACGATGAGAAGGAGTCACGTGCACGAGCTGAATACCGGTAGTAGGTTCTAGGTACAGGTGCAATCAAGTTGGGGGTTCCCTGAACCGCGTGGCGTGCTAAGCGAGAGGCACGCGTGAACCATGGTTCACGGGTGGAGTTGGCCACATCAGCCTCAACTACTACTGTACGACGTAACTAACTTAGGTCGATATGGATAGATATAGGTACCGACAGGGAAAGAACTTCAAAGTCGTAGAACAGTCATCTATTCCCTATTCCCCATTGCTATTACGATTGATACGACTATCTACGAATTCACTCACTCCCGCCTTCGTAACTTCCTAAGATAGAAATAAATAGATAGAACCTCATGATACTTAAGCGAGCGACACTCCTATCTCTCGAGGTCTGCTATCTCTCTCCCCCTCAAGAACCCCAAAACACAGATATGCAAAATCCAAATCTAACTCCAACGCCTGCCTAAGCATGATGATGATGATGATGATGATGATGACGATACCCTTCCTCCCACCTCTCCTCCTTCTTAACACTCACACCCACCCCCATCCCCGTCCCCGGAGTACTCTCTCCCATTCCCATGTCGCCGCCGTCCCCCCTCCCCCTCCCCCTCCCCCCTGAGAATCTCCTCACCAGCCCAGCCAAAACCGTCGTAGGCGTGAGCCGGCATCCCGTACGGCCCGCCATGAGCTGCTGCTGCCCCAGCGGTCTGCAGATCTACCACGTACGTCTCAGGCCCGGGCGCGACGTGACCGTTGTAAGCAGCACCCGACCCCAAGATTAGCGGCTCGTACATGTTACCCGCCGGCCCCAGCTGCTCGTGCAGCGTGGTGGTCGCCGACGCGCCGCCGGGGATCCCATGGCCAAAGCCCGTCAGCAGCCCGTCGGCCATGTCGCCCGCGGGAGCGAAAGAACCGCGCCGGGAGGGGGACTGCTCGATGCACATGCGGGGGGGCGTGTTGGGGAGGGTGCTGTTTGCGTTTGGGTTGGAGACGGAGGAGGAAGACGGGTGGTGGTGGTGGTGCTGCTGGGGGTGGTGGGATATCTGCTGCTGCAATTGCCCGTGCAGGTGCAGGGTAGCGTACGAAGGCTTGCGCTCCCTCTTCACAGTAGTTGGCATGTCGCCCATACCCATCTCCATACCCATGCCCATGCCCATGCCCATGCCCATATCCATACCCATATCCAGTTCCATGCTCAGCTCCATGGCCCCCGTTCCGAGCCCGAGGGCCATGCCGGGACTACTGTCCAGACCGAGGGAGCCGTCGACGTCGCTCTCTGTCGTGCCGGCCCGGTCACTCCGCTCCTCGCTTCCGGCATCGCGTTCACGCTTCGTACCCCGCTCCTCGTCTCGGAAATGCTTGAGCTGTTTCGGGGACTCCTTCTTGGGGGGGGAGCGGTTCTTCTCGACCCGGCTCTTGCGCGGTTTGCGGGGGGTGGATGGGGCAGGGACGATGCCGCTCGCGGCATCCATCTGCTTCTTGAAGCGCGAGTAGCGCATGCGGGCGGCATGGCCGTTGGTGATTTCCTGGCAGAGAAGGGGGTCGCGGGCGACCTTATTCCAGTCTATCTGTTTGGCGGATCATGTATCAGGATCATGCCATACCCCAAGTTTCGAGCAATAGTGCGGATTACAAGAGGCAAGAGGATGAAAAGGCAGAAGGAGGGACGTTGAATGTGATGTATAGCTATGACCGAGAACACAGGAAAGTTTGCAAACGCCACGTGGGAATGGAGGGGAGTTGCTTACATCTTTCAAACACTTCTGGCTGAGAATCGCAAACAGCAACCTCGTGATGGAATTCTCGGTCGGCATGACCTGGGATTTGCGAAGGCTCGCCAGCGTGCCGGTTGGAGTCTGTACCTGCGTCTTGCAGATTTGCGTGCCTCGGGTTGGCTGGCTGGCGGGCTTGGGCGCGCGAGTTGAGCAGAAGGTGTTTTCGACTCTCGTGAACTGTGTGAAAATCTACAAGCTTTATTTCTCGATTGAAGTTCTTGGAAGCTTGTTGTATGTATGTGTGCGCGCTGCTGCTAACCTCGTAATCGGAGAGCTCAGAGTTCCTGTTCCCAACAACCTCAACTTCTCTCTTCCCCTCTCCTTCTTCAAAACAGCTCCTCTGGTCTCACAGATCTTGAGGAAGCAGCGCTCCAAAGGGTTTTGGAAAAAAAGAGAATATCCTCTCACGGGCGCTCTCCAGAATGCAACAGGCGGTGAGTAGCTCCTTTCTGGATTCCGGGTGCTGGCTCTGCAGAAACGCCGTGCAAGCCAGTGAGTGAGTGAGTGAGAGGAGGGGAGGGGGCCCCAGCGTGAGAAATACTCTTTTCCTTCACAAAGTCCCTTTGAAAACGGGTGCTTTCGCGTGCGCAAGGTATAAGAAATTAAGAAATCCGCTCAATGGGCCGGCCCCCCCTTTCAAAGCCCACCCCGGGTGTGCTTTGTCACAAAAACCCCCTTCTTTCCTTTCTTGTGCGGGCTCTCTCTCTCTAGGGAATCTCAAGAGAAAGATCAGAGGTAGGTGTGTGCATCCGCTCTGCAGGACGGTGGGGTAGGTAGGTAGGTAGGAGAAGCAGATCAGGTCAGGTCAGGTCAGAGGAGGAGAGGAAGAAGCCCATTGTTGGATCCCGCTTGGCTTGGCCCCGGATAGAGCTCGTCATTGTGTTCATTCTTCTCCGTCCATATCTCTCTCTCTCTCTCTCTCTCTCTCTCTGTCTCTCTCTCTCTCTCTCTCTTTCTCTTTCTCTCTCTCTCTCTGCCCTGGTCTTCCGAGATATCAGAGATCGCTTTGTCTGCCGATGGCAAGGTTTGCTTGGGGGGAGGGGCGGATCCTTGGATAGCTGCAGCTTTTCGCAGGATAGAAGTCTTTTGTTTGGTGGAGGACGCGAAAGCGCGAGGGCGCGTAAAGAGCTTGCATGAAAAAGCTGCTGCTGCTGCTGCATACCTAAGTAGCAGGGGTCTTCTACATACACCCCCGTGGGGGTCCCTTTCATCCCATCTTTCAAACGTAAATTCTCTCTCTCAAGATAAACCATATACCGGTACATTGCATCAATTGCCTTTGCTTGCCAGACGGCAATGGGCAGCAGGAACCGGCAGCTGGCACGATAGAGCTGCATAGGCCAGGGTCTACGTACATAATGGATGCAACCACTTACTCTTGCCCTTGCACATACGTATACTTGTAGATATCCGGGTAACCGGCGGTCGAATTGGAGGCAAGGTGAACAGCAATGGAGAAGGTGCACGAGAAAGGGAAAGGGAACAAAAGAAGCGTACTGGCGGGGTCGCAGTAAACTTATTGACGGATACGATCGTTGCCTGGTAAGAATAGATAGCCGAGGGCCCAGGCTAGCTAACCGAGAAGAATAATGCATCTGAAGCTTGAACGAAGAAAAGCTGATAGTGGATATTGATTCTGACGCTCTGCTGGCTGTTGAGGTAGAAGAGAGGTGAATAAGGACGTTTTAGCCCCCGTGACTCTGCTAGAGTTGACTTTCAAGGTGAATAGCACACCTACGGGCCCCACTTAAAAAGCCTACCCTTTCCCTTGAGCCCTCTTGGTTTCCCCCATCTTCTCCCATCTTGAACCTATCAACCTTTTTTCATCACCCAACTGGTGCAGCCACTTGCTTATCAGAAATTCTTGCACACCTTTTCCTTTACCCCAAAACAAGAGCTCGTGTCATCAACCACCATGCCTTCCGTCTGGGACCACAAGGCCGACAAGGACCTGCTCCTGACCATCATCGACGAGGGCTCCTTGAAGAGCATTGCTTGGCCGAGTATCTCCAACAAGATGGCCGATAAGGGTTACAGCTTCACTCATGAGGGATGCCGGTCAGTAAACCTCTCCTCTCGTTGATCCCATCTCCCTCATCTCCTGGCCCTCATCCCGTTCGTCCGAATCTTTTGGGTTGTCGGCCTTCCATCTGCATCAAGCCGTCAGCGCAGATGTGTAGGTAGCGGGACCTCACCTTTCAACAACAACATCCGCTCCTCTTCCTCTTCCTCCCATCTGACATGAACACAAATCGACCTCTACCACCACCACCACCCTATCTATACGCACACTGAAAGCCTGCTGCTAACATCATCCCCAGCCAACACTTCCAGAAGATCCGCAAGGAAGCTCGAAACGGTCACAACGCCCTCGAAACCCTCGCCCCCTCTCCATCCAAGGCCAAGGCCAAGGCCAAGGCAGTCACCACCCCCCGCAAGGCCTCCAAGAAGGAGAACGCTCCATGGGCCGACGGCGACGACAACAAAGACGACTATGAGGACCTCCCACCACCATCGTCCAAGCGCAAGCGTGAGGTCAAGAAGGAGCAGCCTCTCGATCAGGAGAGCAGCCAGGCCTATCAATTCAAGGTCGAGTACATGGGTGACGTTAAGCCTCAGATCAATTTTGAGAACGACGAGTAAGTCACAACTTGCCAGACTGGGTGACGCCCTTGGATGTTTTGCTGACAAGTGAAATTCAGAATCTACGACTAGACTGCTCGAGGGGGCGAGTGGGTCAGGCTTCTTTTCGCGGTCGGAGCCGGAGCTCATGAATTTGTGGCGCCCCTTCTTCCCGTGATTGATATCCTCGGACTTTGCCCGCTATGCTTTCTCTTCTGCTTTTTTGCGGTGCTTTCGGTGGTGATATGCGGCGCCTGATTTGCGTGGATACTTGCGACGGCGTGTTGCTGGGACTTGGACCTTTGGTCAGGCTGAAAGGGGGTAACTACTCTTATGCTGAGGGCTCACGTACATGAAATGAAACATTGACCTTGAACATTTTATCGTGCCGGTGACTGCTAGATAAACGTGTCAGGGTTTACTCGAGGCCAACCTCATGTGGATACAAGAACCTCGCGACGGGATTCCATCCCAATCGGTATGGGATTCTCCGTGCGTGTAGAGGGTTTGCTGTGCAGGTTGACAGACCCTCGGCGTGGATTGAGAAGTGGACAAGCTGAGCTTCGAACACTTATTACCCACCTACTCAAAACTTAGAAAGCTATTACAGGAGACTGCTGAGAACGTCATTCAGTTGAACAGCATTACTGAGCTGTGAACCAGCTGCAGACGCATAAGTGTAGAGCAAAGAAAGATGCTCCCCCATCCAAAGGAAAAAGAAAAAAGAGAAAAAAAAAAAAACACGCGAAAGGTAACAATCCTGCACACGGTTGCTGTATATGCTTTCTATGGAGGGGGTATCTCTATCATCAGAGTACTGTCCCTCTGTTCTGCTTCAAATCCGAGACCTTCACGTCCCTCCAAAGACTCACCCATACAAACCCAAACATCAAGGCAGCCGTCCCCGCTATGCACATTCGCATCTGCGCAACTCCGTATGCGGCTACAATCGCATCTCTGACTTCGGAGCCCCTTGGGTAGCTCAATTGCAACGCCAGGTCTTCGTAGATGGCAGTTGCATTGCCTTTCGCATACTCTGGTAGTCGTTCGAGGAGTGCTCCGGGAAGTGTGTTGGTCCAGATAGCTCCAGACACCGAACTTCCGACGGCGCCTCCGATATTAGAGACGAGACCCAAGAGAGCAAGTATGGCAGCGATCTGCGCGTGTTCGACTACCGCCATGACGGCCATTTGCTCGCATATTACTAAGGCACCTCCGGCGATGGCAATAAAGACTTGGCATCCCACCACATATGCGATGTTCTGGTATGGCTGTCTAAAATAGATCATTGACGCTCCACCGACGAGCCTAGATGATCGAAAACTCAGCAAGTGTTGAATTTCAGTTTTCTGGGGAGCAGTCGCAGGAGCAAAGATTTTCCAAGACTCAGGAGAGAGAAAATGGCTACTGCCCGATTATCCTTACTCAATTGGCATAGCAATCCAGGCGATCCATTTGAAGCGTCCCGTGACGCGGATAAAATAGCCCGTTACTAGAGACATCAAACAGGCCCCAATACTAAAGATATTGCCGATGTAGCCAGCTTTGGAGATGGACAGGCCATTTACGACCTGAAGATAGGAAGTGAAGTAGCCGTCCCAGCAGAAATAGGCGACGAAGCGGGTAGCACACAGCAGAGAGGCACCGATTACAGTTCGGTCGCAAAGGAGATGGTAAGGGATGAAAGGTCGGGTGGCATAGAAGCGTTCCCAGAAACCGAATATTATGAGGAGAATTAAGCCGATGAATATCATGGAGACTATAGAGGGAGACGTCCAGCTATTGTCTGCGTAGCCTGTGATGGAGAAGGGGAGCAGGAAGAATACTAGGCCTGCGGATAAGAAGAAGACTCCATATGCTACTAAATATTAGCTGAGAATAGAGAAAATGTATCAGGAGATGTATTGTAAATAATTTACCATCAAACTCTTCAACATGATGCACGAATGCCTCCTTCCAACTTCTTTTTGCAGGCACACTCGACAATACCCCGATTTGTTTTGCCTTGAGCTGATTTGTGAACAACATGCCGAAGATCGGCGCAGCAAACATGGGCGTAAGGATTGCGGATAGGCCAAATGCCCAACGGAATCCAATTGTTTGGTATATCGTTTGAGATAGTCTTGGTCCTATGATCGTTGTGGCAATATATGGAGAAGAGGCCACCGAGATAGCCAGAGCTCGATTCTTTAGTGAAGAGATATCTGCAATTACTACATTCATCGTGAGGGATATGCCTCCAAATCCGACGGCATAGCAGACCTAGATCTGTCAATAGTGCACAAGAGACGCCTTTCCCACGCCCCGGGGTATGCGAACCTGTGCCACCGCATATGTCTCTATGTTTCTGCATATTGCCATGAGCAGAAGACCTGTGGTAGCGATTAAAGTCATGAAGGCAAATCCTTCGGCGCGACCCCATAGATCCAATAGTTTCGCGATGGGCAAACGCAATACCCCATTCATTATTGCCGACACTATGCCTATGACGGGTATGAGAGAGAGCGCCGAAAAGTCGCTGACCACGTAGGGCATGAGGTTCTGGGTCACTTGTCCCTGAATAGAATTTAGGGTATATATGAGAAGAATACTAGGGCGTTATTAGCATCCAGCTGTGCGGAGGAGAGGTAGGATATATCCGGCTCACAAAAAATAAGTCCATCTCAAGGACGTTTTCGACCATACAAGAGTGATCGCCTCCACAGATTGGACCCCTTCCTGCGCATTTGGGTTGACCTGATTCTGAGCATTTTTATGGTAGGGGTGATTGTTGTTGTTGTTGTGGTTGTAGTTATTGTCTTCCTCGTCGCCGAGCAAAGGCGTTCTTTCCGTGCCTGAGACTGACATGGAAGCAAGCGTACTCGATGATATCAGGGGGTCCGCCGGCCCCATGGTCGGTAGTGGTAGTTGTAGTTGTAGTTGTAGTTGTGGTAGAGTAGCGAGTGACTGTTCGTTACAAGACTCACTGTCGATAATCACCCAACTATATATCCAAAGGTTGCTGGGGACCAGTTATCGGAATCGCATCTTGTCAGAAAAAAACAGGACAGGACAGGACAGGACAGGACATGACAAGACAGATCAGATTTCGGTTCAGATCCGACTAGTCCTGCCACGAGTCACACCTGCAGGAACGAACAGCCGAGAATCCACCATCGGGCGTTCCAGGGAAGGGAAGGGCAGGGTGTAAGTGGGTAGGTAGGTAGTAGTTGTATTTGTATTTGTAGGTATTTGTACTTGTACTTGTGGCAAGGTTTGGGTTGGCTAGCGGAACGCAACGAAAGGATCCTGAATCCATAGGAATGTGAGGGTAAGGGTGAGCGTGGGGGTGAGGGCGAGGGTGAGGAATGACTGGAGGCTGACTGGAGGCTGACTGACGCTGGTCGGGCGAGGGATGGTTGAGCACGGAGGGATGGTTGATGGCATGGGGGCGACGAGGGATCGAGGACGTAGAGTACCGGTACCGGTACGTAGGTAGAGTACGTACTCCGTCGACAAGGCTGAGTCATTATCAGATCATCTGATCTGATAAGTGGCAGCCCCGCAGCCGCCCCAACCTAATCGATGGACACTTCCCGCGCTTGGCGCCACTGGCTGGCTGGTAGACGGGCTAGCTGGGTTCACGAGGCCTTTCTCATACAACTGTCAACAAAAGGTACAATGCCTGAATGCCTATAACACAACGACAATAATTCCTACGCATGTACCCAAACGACCGGCTCCCTTGTACGAGAACTGTCTCAGCTTCGCGACGCCGACAACCCACGGATGCGAACAACTGCTTCCCGAGTCTAGTCCCCTGAATGAATTGTTTGTAACCGGGACGACCTCGTCTCGCGAAACTCGGGATGAATGCTCTATCCGTTTACTCGAAGTAGAAATAGAAGCAATTGAGGTTCAGCAGGACTATAAAGTCGTCATCAAGCTTTGAAGCACAGTAATATCTGTATGTAGGAACGTTAGTTTCCAGAAACGCGGACCAATACGCGGGGGAAGTGAGGTCACGAGGTGCTCCGTCTGGATCACGTGGAGGAGTCCGGTCACGAGAGTAAGGTCGCCAAGCATCTCGGTCGCGATCAACCCTACTTCAACATCATGAACCAAAATTCAACATCAAATCTTCACCTCACTCTACACTACCGCCGTCGATATATGCTCACCGGCGTCGCATCGTAGACGCAGCCGCCGCTATGTTTACATTCAATAGTCTCTGGGTGGCATCTATTTCGGGCTCGTTTGAATGAGGGGCCTACCCCGGGGTCACCAAGACGTATGACACGTACGGCCTCAGCCATTCCACGACATCACATCCCGATCGACCAGATGCGAGTGTAGGGCAGCACATTTGAGCCTCGATCAACCTCAGCCCGAGTCTCCTGTCCTGATCTTCATCGTACAAAAGAAGACCACTCGATGTTCATCTGTGCATCTACGCGCCGGGTTGGCGATTGCTACCCGCTGCAGCTTCTCATAGGTGCACCCAGCTGCAGGCCAGCAGCGCCAACCACTCCCTCTCCCCAGCCTCTCCGAAATGTCGAGCGCGCCATTCGATGAATCTCGATGCTAATTTTGGCTGCAGAGATTGTTTTTCGGTGATGCTTCGCACAACGGCCTAATGCAAGTCACTATTGGCTACCGATCACGCATGGCGGCGTGGCGTTGGCAATAGCATCCTAAAGTGCTGCTCGTCCGGCTGTTTTTTGGTGGGCCCTTTCCACGGCAGTGCCATGGAGAGAGGCATTATAGCGCTCTAGGAAGAGATTGAACTGCAGATTCAGTCAAGTCGGCGCGTCTAGCTTCGTCTCCTCCTCCTGCCACAGAGTGCTGCAGGCCCAATCTGGGACCCGGCGGTCAATCTCAAGCCTCTGCCCGACTCTTAGCGCTACTCAATGGCACTAGTGTGCTGGCAAGAATCGCTGTGATCGTATAAACCATCTGATCTCCCACGAATTTGAACTGGCTACCCAATCCCTTCTCATTTCCTTTCTGGCTCAGCCATCATCGGTGCTGTCACTGTTGCTGATCTTAAAAGTCTTTGTTGATCAAAGCATACTATCATTTATAATCTTTCCATCTCTCATCGTACCCATCTTTTCATTCTGACGCTGGCCGTCGACTATCCGTAAATATTTTCTCGGTTAGCAGGGTCGCAACAGCAAATTCAACCAGCGCCTCTGCATCGACGAAAATGGGGGCGTTAGATCTTTTGCCAGCTTCAACATACATGCCTCCATCGCCTGGGCGGGATCTCAGACGACGGAGGTCACTTAATACTATAATGGAAGTCGACGAGGAGTCGGCACGAGGGTCTGTAATAGAAGTGCACAGGGGTCGAGATGTATCTGCAAAGAAGGCAAACTGGCTTTCGCCTCTCAGCGATCACTTCCCAACCCCCCGAGGCAATCACTTCATGTCCGCACCTATCCCGCAGAGCGATGAATCTTCAGACGCTGGTAGCATTTCTCCATCTCTCGCTTCGGCACCCTGGACCCGAGATAGTTACACCACCGAAGCTACCGAATTCGACGATCTCTACGATGTTTCTTCGGATGAAGAAGACAGGCAAAGGAAGAACGCTGCCAGACGGAACAGTGCTCGCCAGGCCACACAGTCCAAGGGATCTTCGGCCGATTCAAATGCAGCTAGGAGTTCGAGAACTTTCCTACCTGCTCTTGTCATTCCCTCTCAGGGGGCGGGAGATCCATGGCCAGGAGTTGCAGCTTTCAAGGCAATGACTTCCCCGGTCCCACCTACACCACCACCTAAAGTCCCAATGTCTCCCGCGATCTTCAAGTACCTCCAGTCCCGGGAGGTTCCATCATGCTCCGCTCCACCATCCCTGGACGGCAGCTTGACTTCCGATCAGATGGCCCAGATGTCTGCTCCACCTACGCCGGATATTGGAAATGGGAGCGATGCTGACAAAGACGAATGGGGGACAGGCGTTCAACTACAACCTGCTGCTATGGCAACACTACAAGCGCTTTCTGGGGGAGATTGTCTGTTCGAGCAGCAGACCGAGCAAGTCATCGAACTGACCCACATCACCCCAGAGGTCTCGCCCGTACGAGAGATGCAGCAAAGTCTCCCCCCGCTCGTAACCAACATCCACCGAAATGACTCTATCATCCTCTCGCCAGAACAGCAGCGGTCACTGAATGCCCTCACTCGACTGGAGATTCCATCTCCAGGGGGCTTCTTCTCCGCTCTGTCCCCTGGCGCGAAACACACTTGGCATCTGGTAGCATACACTCCAGAGTCAGCTCACCCGCCTTCCTCGACCACAGCGGAGCAGTTCTACAAGACTCCCTGGACGTCTACTCCTGTTGAGCGAATTGTTGAGGTTCCGGAGACGATGTCCGACGGTATTCCCACGGCACGACCCAACTTGACTCAGCTCAATTTTGCCCGGACCATCCGCCCGGAGCTAACTCACGAGAATTCAGACGAGACAGTCACCGGCCTGGACATCTTCTCTCCAACGGACGAGGAAGTCATCCCAGACGAAATCCTCACTTACTACGCCTCCGGCCCAGCCGAGAAGTCGGAAGATGTCGCAGTCACCAACCTCGACCGCACCACCATGTGGCTCACAGCACAATCCTCATACCTCTCCGAACTCATCAATCCTACAGAGGAGCACGATGACGAAGCCACTCTCCTCAAACGGGCCGCAAGCACCAGATCGCAATCTCAAATCCAAACCTTCATCGCTGCCGAATCCGAGTCACCACCGCGCAAGACCGTCCGTTTTTCCGAGATCGTATCAACATCCACCGAATTTGACTGCCCTCTTCCCAAGATAACGGCCCAGGAATCCGCTTACTATCGTGCCTTTCAAGCTATTCTGGCCCGCTCCCACCACAGAGACACCTTCGTCCACCGTATCCCACGCTTCGAAGCCCTCCAAGCCCAAAGAATCTCCTTCCCCCTCGCCCACCGCGCCCAGCTCCTCGGCAAATACCAACTCTCTGTGGTTCCAATGTCAGCAAAGCGCCGCCTCTCCGCCAACGTTGCGCGCGGTGACGAAATTGCGCCTGAGGATCCCGCCAAGCTGAAACGCGACAGGGAGTACGAAGCCTCCTCGCAAATGGCTGCCGCGAACTGGAACGTGCAAGCTCTTAAACTACTCAATGGTGGCCGCTTGATCGCAGCCCCGATCGCTAAGCGACTTGCTCGCTTGTCATCTCTAGGCCCCAAAATAGCAGCCGACGGCACCTTGAGAGAACGAGCAAGGATCCTAGATCTAGGAGGTCAAGCGACGTGTGACTGGGCATGGCACTGCGCCAGCGAGTACCCCAACACGAAAGTCTACACCATCACCACCAAGTCCCTACGCCAACTCTCCAACTCCAACATCCGTGGCCCGGCCAACCACCGCCACGTAGCCGTCGACCGCCTCGTCAAACTGCCCTTCAAAGACAACCAGTTCGACCTCATCTCCGCGCGGGAGATCTACAGCATTTTGAGAGAGCAGGCCCCCAACGGTGAAGACGAGTGGGAGGCATGTCTCCGGGAGTGTATGCGCATCCTCAAGCCAGGCGGCTACCTCGAATTCTGCATCATGGACGCGGACATCGTCCACGCCGGGCCGCGCGGGCTCGCCCGATCCGTGGAGTTCTGCTTCCAGCTCAAGAGGCTCGGTTTCGACCCGGCGCCCAGCAAGCGCTTCCTCTCGCGCCTGAGCGCCGCGGGCTTCGTACACGTGAAAAGGGCGTGGGTGTTCCTGCCGATGGGTCCGAAGCCGAGGGGAGGGCAGAAGGTCGAGAGAGATAGCAGGGGCGTGGAGAGGAGGCTCGTGGAGCTGGAGGCTATGGTGCAGGGGAGTACGGGGGATGCGGCGAGCGTGTGTGGGGTGGTGGGCGGCTGGGCGTGGGAGAAGTGGGTGCAGAGGTGTGCGGTGCTGACGGGGGGCGAGGCGGGTGTGGAAGGCGTGGCGGACGTGCTGGAGGAGGGGAGGGCGTGTGGTGCCGGGTGGAGGACCGTTAGTGGATGGGGAAGGAAACCGCTGTAGGTATGATGGTGCGTCAATGTTGATACTCG